TACAGTCTGACCAGAACAAAAAAGACTCTATGTTTTACAAATTCTTATATCTTAAAATACCGATAAAAGACGTTTGGCCTCATTTTAATCAGAAAAATTTCACCAATATGTTGAACGAAATACCTTTAGAAAAAGCACGAGAACAAAAAGCTTTTAATTCTGCATTCCATTAGGGCATCGATACACGGACATTTAAACTTCTACGAACGCTCGAGGTCTCGTTCCCTCTTTGTCTTTCGCTCACTATCCTTCTCTATGGCGGCTTGAATATCATCGTGTACTCGGGTAACTAAACTTACTGAAAACATATTGCATTTCGAAATCGACTGTTCGTCGAATAACTTTGAAAATTAATTCTAAAATAACGCTGGTGTTTCGAACTGGACTCAAAACACCCAGGTCTGACGTAAATTCGATGGACTTGATACGGAGAAGAGAGACATCGATTGTCGAGACCGGGCATAGCAATCGGGACGGAAAGACGAGCCTCGACGCGAGAACCTATAATTAAGCAACAGGTTGTGGCTGCTTCTTTGCACGGATTTATGAGGACCGCCAATGCACTGGCTTTTATTGAATTTTAACACGTTCACTGCCAGATCAAAGCCGTATAATATTCTGGAAAAGTAAAATTTTGATTTTAGACCATTGTAAGCTTAAGCTATATAACCTAAAATATGTTTCAGTACTTATTTTCGTAACCCTGTTAAAATTCACAAATTCTATTCAGATTTATTTCTCTCAATGTCTTAACATGAGAATTCATTTTTGTAGTATCATAATGGTAAATAATTGGCAGTGATAATGTTAACCGAGCCCTATTCTATCTTCGCGTACGAATTCTCCGCGTTCCGCCATCGACGTCCATCGACCGTCGGGAAACTGCACTCGATCGAGAAACGGTTGGTCGTCCGTCTGATCAATAACGCGGAAAGAGTGTCGCTTGCCAACCGGCTAAAGGTGACTTTAACGTCGTTCCCGGAACGATTTCGTGACCTTATTTCAGGAAGATTAAAGGACAGAGAGAAGGTAAATGTTAATGGAACAGAATTAAAATGGGGGGAGCGAGACTTCTTGGTTCTGCCTTCCTTGTTCTGCTTCTGGCTAAGGATCCCGACTCCCGGGGTCGAGCGACGCAGAAATTAACGAGCTTTTATCGTTACACGCCGTTGCCGGGAATAACGACGCGGATCTGGCATGTACCGTGGGGCGTCTTAGGAGGTAACAATTAATGCCCCGGTTAGTAAATTATGTGCAAGACGTTCTACGACTGCATCACAGTATTTTGGAACGTTTTCTTACGGGGCTCGAATGAAACTGTTGAAATTTTCAATTGGTTTTGACGTAACGGTTATCTTTTTACTTTTAATTTGTTCTAAAAAAATAGTTTTATATCCACTGAAACTTATATTCCATATTTACTCTATATTTTTTGTCCTGTTCCAATTTCTTAAATAACGATAAGTAAGAATCGTTTAAACTTTTATGTTTTACTTTAAAATATCTGCCTACGAAATAAGGGTTTGCCAAGAATGGGGTCACGGAGAGACGGAAGGCAGTTTGCCTTCTAGCAGTAGGTCTACGAGGAACAGCAGGACACTTACACCACAACCGCAGCCACCTACATAACCTAATAGATGCAAATTCAATTACCCGCTCAAGGTCAAGGAAGGGTTTACCCTGCCATACCGTTTAACTACTCCTGCCGCTCTCTTATTCACTCTTGTATCTTTGTTTATGCAATAAATTGAATAATTGGTGGTCCTGTCACTAACGAAAGCGGGGAATAATGAAATTTGTACGGTTTTTCAAGGGTTAGGTTTGGGTTAGGTCAGGTTTTTCAAGGGTTTCAGATTCCATATTTAAAAGTTACAGAGCTTGTAAATATTATTCGTTAACGATTTACGTTTAATTTGTTAGCTCTTTGAATAATAAAATTCCCCACGTTCGCTTCGAGTCGCGATTTGGTATCAAGAAACGAGTGAAGCTAGAAAGGCTTCGATTACAAGAATCGTTAGCGGGATCGGAATTCGAAGAAGGCCGAAGTACACGGGCAATTTGCGCAAGGATTCGAATTCGCGGATCGGATTGTTGCCGTTGTAACGGCGCCATAGAGCCGAACTGGAGCGAAAGGGGCATTCGGTTGTTACGCAAAATAGTCCTTCTTTCTTCGGTCGAGGTCTAAGCATCGACAGGCATAACGATCGGCGAACCTGCGGAAGCGGAATCCGTGGAACCGTAGAAATCGTCGATCCTCGAACACCGAGGAGCTGCCTATTCTTGGCTGACGACTCGCCGGCCCCAATTTCGCATCGATGGAAACGACTAGCGGCGGTGGGAGGGGGGAGGGGGCTACAAGGAAGGAGGCCAGCAGAAGGGTAGGGGGAGCTGATCCACCGCGAAGAGGTCCTCTCAATCTGCAGTTGATTTTCTCGTGCACCGACCCAATTTCGAACCCGGTGCGGGCAATTTAACCCGCGTCCGCCTCTTCCTTCCATATCTTCCCTCCGGATTGCCGGAACACCGTTTTTCTTGCACCGAAATAACGGTCGAAACTGATTTTCGAAACGCCGCGAGGCTCTCCCTCGGCGGACCAACACGTACCTAACCTAACCCGTTATCGTAATCGCGCCATCTGGTGTAGGGATACATAATTAATAGATTAAACGTAACCGCAGCGAAGTTGGTACTACAGAACAAAATTGTACCGCGACGAAGTACAAATTGCCAACACGGTTGATCAAACTTCACGGCAGCACGTCGTCGACTCTCGTTATTAATTATTTTTTGGCACTCGATGACACAAAGATTCGCCGTCAGTGGTTACGACTGCCCATTACGCTTAACCACCGCCTTGCTCCGTGACCGCAAACGGCAGAGGGGGGAGGCAGCACGCCGACAGAAGAACAATATTTATAAAGGCGTTCGGGGGCATGTTTGCGGGAATTCATTGGGAATTCTCGACAACGGGGCGACGCGGTATATCGTCTGGCTGCGACATTGTGGTTCCGCGGCCCCGTACCTCTGTTCTTTGTTCGCCGATGGTCGCCCCGCGACACGGGTTGCATTCATAATTCGTCGACGATTTAGAAAATCGTCCGATCTGAAACGTCCGCTGGTTTCTCTGCGCCCTCTGGCCCACGGCGTATTCAATTGACCGTGGCGCGTAAGTTCCTTGCAATTCCAGTGACACTCGTACGGCGGTGCCGTATATTTGCAGGTAGGGGGCAGGGGGCGAGGTAGTTTCTACCACCCCGAATTACCATATTCCACTTTGCGCTACGTGTTCCCGGGCCGGGTTTGGCCCAGATTCCTCCTGCCGACTTAATAAACAGAACCTTTAGCGGCACGCGTACGACGCAGCTTCCCGCTTAAATCCAGTTATCTTTTATGAGATTTCTGCAACGCCAGCCGTCCTCCTCTGCCCCCTCTTTATCATCGGCAGGTTAGGCGACACGCGGACGAAAAATTAGAAACGAACGAGCGAGATAAACTCGAGCCCGGCTATTTGTTCCGGGAATAAGGAAACATGTTCCCGTTCAAGAGATAAATATGACCGGCTGAATGGAATTAGCATAATTCACTCTTCGTCTTAAGAGTGGAGCAGTCGGGCCTCTCAATTTTAAATATCGGCCATTTGTTTAACCTTATATCTTTAGGAATCTTGCATGTCTATAATCGTACATCTTTAGGAGATTTATTTTATGTATAAATTTTGTCAACCCAAATTGATATTTTATTTATTTTTATGTAACGACTTTACTCGACAAATAAAACAAGGTTATGTTAGATGGAGGAAGTATGGCAAACGGGGATCAGCGAATAAAGCTGTTTTACGACCTAACCTAAATCATGGGACTTACATTAAATTATGGGAATCGGGTCGTTTTTTTGACAATAGTAATGATTCCAGACTCGGGGGATACCTAAATAGGAAATTTGTCGATTGAATTTTACATTGTTTCGTAGGTTGGAAATGTACATATTTAAGAAGGTGTATAAATATACAAAATTGTTTTCGTATAACCGAGGTGAGTCACAGAAGTGAAAATAATTTGTTTTTATGATACAAGTATCGTTAAATTAATTTAGTAACAGATGAAAATCATATAAGAAGATAGCGATTGCTAGAGTGATTAATTGAGGTTATGTTTAAGAACCTCAGTTTTACCTCGCCGTTTTGCACACTTTATTTTCTCGTATTACATCTCTTGTAACAAATGAACATTTATTTTTCATGGATATTTCCGACCTGTGTATGATTTTTTTATAAGGATCTATTTAACTTTGACTAACTTCCGAAACAGAGTTCGTATACAAACGCATTTTAGGGATAAAGGAAGATCAATCCCGGGAAGAATTGCAAGCTGTATTGGCTCAGACGTTTTAGTCTAAACAAAGATTAATCGACACTATCCACATTACCTTTACTCATGGTACTACATTTTTCTTAACCAGAGATTGATCTTCCTTTCTTTCTCTCTGCAACGCATCGTATTTACACAATTCTATTTACGCGAAAAGATTTTGAATGAATCAATAACGTGAGTGGAGGACCTTCTCCTCGAATGCAATTTACTTAAACGAAAATACGTTGAAAATTTGAAAAAATAAAAACGAGTTTTCCATAAATCGAGAGATTGATGTGTCGAAGATAGCGGGGAATCGATTTCTTCCCTAATCCTACACACGGATCGTAAGCATTAACACGGCTTAACAGGAAAAGGGGATTTTCATCGATGCAGGGTTTAGCTTCTGTAATTGGATATTACAAAGAGCAGATTATTTGAATTATCTGGAAGTGAAATCGTCGTAAAGAGTATGAATATTGGGAGAACAAGCGTGACGAAAGAAAGATCACGATTCATAAGTTATAAATAATATGCATCTTTTTTTAATTCTTACATATGGATTAGTGTACAGGCGACGCGTTAAAGAATTGTGATGGGAACCGTTCTTGTTAGGTGTTCGTGGCACGTTTTCATGGAGGAATTTTTCAGGGTGAGGGGGCATGTTGATGTGCCGGCGGTTGCTGCTGATCGCAGCCGCGATCACGGCCTCGATCGAGGCTGGCTCCGCTAGTTACCATCCTGGAATCCCATCCAGCTACTCTGGATACCCTGACTTCGCTGCCTACTCTGGTCTGACGACGTCCGAGTCTGCCTCGAGCGCCACCACCACGCCGACGGCCAACTCGGAAAATGTGCCTACCTGCAGGTAAAACTGCTGTACATAACCTCTCCTTTCCATTCGGTTTATGTTTCATAGAAAAAACCGTAAGCTTTGGAAATTCAATGATTGTACAGGTTGTTCCATAACATGTGGTGTCTAGTTCAATGATTGATAGGGGATACGAAGTAATGGCAGTTTCGCTTCCAGCTAGGAAAATGCAGGATTCAGACTAACATTGAAAACAACTGTTAGTAGTGCTGTATCCTCGAGAAGAGACAACTTGAGGGGCAAGGAAGCCATACACGGTGTTGGCCATTTGTTGCTGAGAAATTTGGTACTTAAATGTATATAAATATCAAAAAATACTATGAGTATTACTTTAAAATGTCGTGGTATTAATTGTAATATTGCAAGAACCTGTGAGACAAAATGGTGTCTCCCTTGATTTAGTTGCAAGCGTCACGAAGGTGGTTAGTGCTAGTGTTTCGAGCCGCATTTCTCTCTAGATTTTTCCCTCGAAAAACCTTACGAATACATCCCGCGTTATGAAACATCCTGTAAAGAACCGTGACCCGTGACGTCCAGTATTCTGTTATTTTTATTTCGCTCCGCTATTTCAAATCGCAGCGCTTACGAAGATAGAATTAAATCCTGATCCAAAATCGTTACCGAGAGTTTTTGAACGACGGTCCGCTATTAAAACCTACGCGTGTCCATGGGATAGCGATCCGTGCCCGCGGTGGAAGCGAATTTAAAAGGTTTAGCGTACGTTTTATTTGCATTCCATTTGCAGACCTTCCGAGTACCTATGCGGCACGGGAAACTGCATCGCCCAGGACAAATACTGCGACGGCGAAAATGACTGTGGCGATAAGTCCGACGAGCCGAGATATTGTACCCGTGAGTCTCTCAACCAACACGATTTCGTGCGATCGTTGGCGGCGGAAATTTTGTATTTACAGAAACAAACAAAATCAGAATGCTCGTCACATTTAATCCTGGAAGGGCTCGTCGAGCCCACTTAAGTTTTCCACGCTACTCGTTATACGTTAGGAGGCAAATAATATTTGTAAAAAGTAATACATATACATAAGAGTGATAGAGCAACTCTGTTTCCAGATTCAAGTTTACTAGTTAGTAACTAGTGACTAGTGAACTCTACTAGGAATACCTGGGGGATATTGTAGAACAGACGAAAGATTTCTTGACCGATGGGCTCGACAAGTGCCTTGCCTTAATCGTTTCAGGATTAAGAGGAGAATGAGAGTAGTCATGAAACCGTATGGAAGAATCGTTGAGAGATTTGATACGCCCTTTTTTTCTTTTAGCGTGCAACAGAACCTTGTACGGTGACGTTGGCCGGACTTACAGAGTGGAAGTCCGCCGGCCGAGGGAGGATCGACTGCCATTCCTGTGTCATCTCAACTTCACTGCCGCCGGGTCTGATCTCGGAGACCTAGTTCAGGTGGGACAAGAGGGGATCCCGTAGAAAATAAATGCTGACTCCTTCCCATCGCGAGTCTGTCACGGATACGGATACGGATAATAATTTTTTTTCTCCTCCCGCCCGTCTAGGATGCGCACGTCGTGCTTTAGCGAAAATAAATTGTCTCTCGAAATTGGTCTTGTAAGTTTGTTTATTTCGGTGTTCGTCCATTTTTATCTTCTTTCTGTTCGCTTGCTTCTGCGTGCCGGGCGATTAATCAGAACAGCGTCGTCCGCGCGACGTTGCGTCGGGTTGCATGGATTCATATTGGAGGAAACAAAGCGTCGTCTTAGCGCCGTGCAATTTTTTTTCGTATTAGTTTCCGCCAACAAACGAGCCAGGCGTTCGATATTTTACTTCGGGACAGTGCCGCTTTAATCATTCCTAGCCAGCCAATAATCTTGTACAAAGTTTTTCGTTGCCAGGGTACGTCGAGCAATTTACCTCGTCCTCGGTACTGCAATACATTATTGTTTATTAGCACTTCGCCTTTAGCTACTACATCGATCCTTACGTACCGAAACTTCTAGCGCGTTTGGATTTTGTCGTTCAAAGTTTAATACAAATAGTAAAATATTGAAAATTGTGTGCAGACGATGCCTATCGATAGAGCTTTTTTTAAATGACTGACAAACATTACTCTAAAGAGTTGTGGGGTCCATCGTCTCCTGTGCTCGCCACCAGAGGGCTACGTTTTTGTCTCTCTCGCAAGCGCTGATCGACAGTCTATTTGTATACAGGGTGTTCGGCTACCTATAGCAAAAATTTTAATGAGCGATAGTAGAGGCCAAAATAAGACGAAAATCAAGAATACTAATTTGTTGATGGAGGCTTCGTTGCAAAGTTATTAACATTTAAAGTTCCGCCTGTAGAATGACAATCCGCTAAACAGCTGCGTTCGCGCGGACGGTTGCGGCAGGCGAGTGCTAGTGGTTCTCACGCAGCATGAAAAATTCTGCTTACCGACATTATCGACAGCCTTAGATTTTTGTCCACTTATGGGAATGCGAACACCTTACGTTGAATAAGTTTCAACCTGTCTTATGAAAATCCAGAAGGGCATATCAAAACTCGCCCGACGAGATTTTCACAGAGAAAGGGTGAATGCCAGTTCCAATACACAATGTTGTGAACAAAAATCACCCACATGCGATTATACACGCCCCACGATTGTCCACAGTGTCCACAAGTATCCACAAATAATCCTTTCAGGCACTAACCACTATGCAATTAAATAAACACGTACCGCGATTATGTTATTCGTGAATGTCTACGTGTACGTGTATCACGATTCTTCCGAGTTACTTACGAATAAAACTGTTATTAATTTTTCAAATACACTTCCCTGAAATGCTTCCCTGAAAATGCGAATCTTTAAAATGTCATGACTCCTGAACGGATTGGACGATTTTAATGTTTCAAACGGCAAACAACGCGTATTTAGTGTAGAGTATGTAGATATTCCAAGAATATTCGAAAAGTTGTTCCTTGACCCCATGAAGTGAGAAAAACCCCGTAAAAATGGTCCAATTTTCAAACGACCATAATTCCTAAAATAGTGAATATATTTCAATGAAATTTTTTTTTTAAGTAGAGCTCATGGATACCTACAAAAAGGTATTAGACAAAATTTCCATACAGGGTGAAACAAATTTATTAAAAATCAAAAACGAATTTTTAAGAAAAATCTACCCAGGAGTAGGTGCCTTTTTCGGCGAAAAAAAAAGTTTCAAATCGTTTTGGAAAAATGATTTCTAGGTTCTAGGGTCAAATACAATCATTTTTAGTAAATACACACATACCCCCGAAATCTTACACACTTTCGAGAAAAAAAATTCAGGAAGGTGGACAAATTTTTCGGCGAAAAAAAAAATTTCAAATCGTTTTGGAAAAATTATTTCGGTTGCGGGGGTCAATTACAATCATTTTTGGTGAATAGACATGCCCTTGAAAACCTGTGCATTTTCGAGAAAAAAATTCAGAACGGGCGAAACTTTAAACGTTAATAACTTCTTAACAAAGCCTCCATCAACAAATTGGTATTCTTCAATATCCCGGCTTTTAAGTCACAGAGTTTTTTCATAGAACTGCAAATAACGGAAATCAAATTGTTAATATTATCTTAGCTCAATCAAGTTCACACGTTGTTCCATGCCACTAAATCACCAATGTTATTATTTCTTGATAATCTCGATGAACTTGTCCCATCTGAGAACATCTTAGTTAGCGCAATTGTACGATATTACAGTTGATCTTCGACACTTTCACCGTGGGTCGATTCCTGTCGTTCACGTCGAAAGGATGCCCGGACGGGTTCATGACCATCCGCGAGCAAGGGCGTCCAGCGACCGGTGGACAATGGTGCGGAAGCGCGTGGGGATACACCGTTTATTATAGCGAAACACCTTCTGTCAATTTGACTTTGCATTTATTGCGACTGTCCGAGCGGGTAAAGTAAAAGCGCTTTCCACAAAATTCAAATGTACCCGCAGCCCCCGTTGACGTTTAATCAAAACCATCGTTGGTCGTTTGCACAGGGCATCGATTACAACTTCGACTTCAAGTTGTCGTACAAGTTCCTGAGACGCAGCGAGGCTCATCTCAGATACGGGAACAGCAGCATGTCTACGTGGAGGGGTGAGCTGGTGAACGGCACGTACTGCGACCGCGTGCTCACCAAGTGCGATACGCGAGCCTGTCGTCTTCAATCGCCGAATTACCCGGGCGTTTATCCTAGAAACATCACATGCTACTACCGGGTGGAGCAGAATCGAGCTCCTCCCGGTCATCGGGCGTTACTGGCTGTGAGTCAGCGGAACAGCCATAAAATACACATCAAGGACAAGGTGAAATACGACGGAAGCCAGAGGTTATTAAGGTATATTTCATCATCGCCCATCTTCCAACGTTTCAACCGATTACTGGATAATCGATGGATTAAATTCTTCCAGAGTGTGGGATCAATGCAACATGGTGCAGGATTACTTGACAGTATACGATGGAGGGTCAACATCCGACAAAGTGTTGGTCAGACTCTGCGGAGGGGACGCCGTGCCGGACATTGTTAGCAGCCATAATACGATGCTTTTGGAATTTCACACGTCGCCGTACGACAATCCGTTCCATCCTGTCCCTCTGTCGTTTTTGCCAGGATTCGAGCTCGAGGTTCAGGTAATTACCAGACGGAACACGATCGAGTTCTCCAACGCTGCTCGACAAGATACAAATCTTCCATCTAATTTTAAAGATTGCAACCGTAAAAGACCATGTTGACGACTCGATTTACAGGTACTCTTCGTTGACGAGAAGTCACGGAGTTTCGTGAAAGAGAACGACAACTGCGATTTTTATATATCCAGCGACGAGAGTTCGTCGGGGGTGTTGGAGAATCCCAAGCACTCGTTACCACCGAACACCACGTGCCGCTACCACTTCCAGGGCAAGCCAAACGAGATCGTGTGGTTGTCCTTCGTCAAGTACTACGCCGCCAGCGCGGACGCGGCCGCGGGAATCGACGTTGCGTCCGACTGTAACGCGAAACTTCTCATTTGGGACGGCGATCATACGTTAGATAAATTAATTTCCACGCGTAAGGTACGCCAGGACTCGTACGATATCAAAAAGGCTACCGCCTACAACTCCTGGACTTTATATTACAGAACATTACGCTGATGGGCCAATTTTGCAAGGATGACACACCTCGCCTATGCGATCACAGCTTGCTGCGAAACGGCAGTCGCAACACGAGACCGTGCAGCCTCGGGGAAAGCTACGTGTCGACCGGTAGGGACCTCACGCTGGAACACATTTTGCGTCAAGGAAGTGCACTTTACCCGATAAGCTTTGTACTGCGATACGAGTTCGTGCACGAGGCGATATCCTGCAATCACGTGTTCGGCTCTGCATCGACTTCATCCACGTCTTCCACATCCTCTTTATCCTTGTCGTTGTCGTCCTCGCTCTCGTCCTCCGCCAATTTCGGGAAGTTCGGGTCGCCGAAAAGTGTGTTCTTCTATGGACGCGGTGGTGCGCAGAACGTTAGCTGTGTTTATCGTTTCGAGGCTGAACCCGATCACAGAATAGAACTGTCCATAACGAAAGCCTCGTTCGGAGACAAAGGATGTTCCTCCTACGTCGATCCGCTGGTCAATCGGTGGACCTGCGATCGACGCTTAGTCGATTCTACGAAGTTTGGCACCTCGGAGCTCGTTGTTGCCGAGTATCCTTGGCAAGGAGTGAAGCTGGTACCTGTTTTAGTAACTATCGGCTTGGCGAGTTAGTTTAAAGTATCCAAGATCTATCACGAGTAGACTCATGCCTGGCGTTCGCTTGAGAGATTTGTTCTTGGGAATAGTTTATGTAGTTATGTTACCTACTTTTGGCCTCTCTATCGAGATAAACTGGTGACCTAAAAACTAACTCGCCAAGCCACTATTACCATTCGGTAACGGATAGAACGTTGATTCGGTACAATTTTATACCAATGTTCAGGTGCGTGATTGCTTGTGCTCGAACGTGACCGAAAGGATTGTCTTGAGGACTCTAACATCGAACGTGGTAGAGGTCCGATTCGCGGTGACGCTGATGAACGTCACTCAGGACTACAGGGATTTCTTCTTCGAGGGTGAGTACCGTTTCGTCGCCCTGGGAGCGGAAACGAGCGAGCAAGCTTGCTCGACGAAACTCGAGGAACGAAGATTACGCGGGACCAGCGGCGAGATCTCCCTCAGGAGTCCTCTGCCGCGGCTTATTCCTGGCGTGGCAGCCGTGGAAGAGATTTTGACCAACACGGAGGACCTTACCGCGACCCAGTGCGTGAACGAGCCGTGGCTGATCGAGCCAGAGGACGCCAGAATTAATTTCCTGTATCTGAGAACCGCAGGGTACAGCATCACTTTGGACAACGTCGAGGAATGCACGACGTTGAACCGTATCGTCGTTTACTCGGCGGCCAACACGAAGGATCGTAGCGTAATTTGTCCGGAGGGCGGTGTCGACACGGCCAGAACGGTCGATTTCTTCTCCGGCGGTTGGAACTATAGCGCAATAAACGTCACCGTGGCGATGACGCAACATTCCAGGAGCTTCATCGTCGAATTCCTTCAGAGGGAGCCCGGGTTCTATGCTGTTACGTGGATAGCTATTTCTAAGCGGTCTCCTAGTCCGAGCGTTGGTCCGAATGTCTTCACCATGCTGCCCCAGGAGGAATGTCCTTACAGGTTAGACAGATTTCAGTTACGCTAGCCCCCTCAACGTGGTATTTATTAAACTCTCCGAGTGAAAGAGTCACGGTAAGAAAAGCGTTTGATCGTCTTGGGTGATGCGTTTCTGTTGATATTCTTTAAATCTAAACCTACTAACTGCCACGCTTTTCTCTTTCCAGGTGTCCAGAGATTCAGGCGTGTATAAGTTCCGTTTTATGGTGCGACGGCATCCGACATTGTCCATCCGGCTTCGACGAGGAGGAGGCCAATTGCTCGTACCGGTTTGGCGTGACGTTGTTGTACGTAGCAGTGGGCGCCGGTGCGTTGGGTATATTCCTGATCCTACTGCTCGCCACTGGCTGCCTCAAGTATTGCCTCTATCGACACAAGGCACGCAAGAAAAAGAAGAACGTCGCGCTAAACGCGAACCATCTCCACGTGAATCACACACACCACAACAACGGCCTCACCGGAAGTCGTTTGAGCGGACGCTACAACCTTGCCACGCCACAGGAGATGTACCTGGAGAACTATGGGAAGGACAGTATTTGTTGACAATACGCCATCGCCGATATCGAGACCACCGTGTGAATAATGCAGGAATTTTAATTACGCCTACCTCGCTGGCCTCTGGATCCCTACCCCCCTCACCCCTCACGCCCCCCCCCACCCACCCACCCACCCCTTCGCGAACGAACTGAATGAGAAGCAGACGAATTGTCAACCGAAACGTTCCCCCCAACACACATATACGCAATAATCGTATTAAATTCCGTAGACCAATTCTCGAAGGCATTTAACGAACGAGCGGGTCCGAGTTGTTTCTTCGTAGCATCGACGATCGATCTACGCCTCGATCGAACCGTCGTTCGATAGCCTCGAATCACGATAAGCGACGCTTTTTTCACTTTTTAACTCACCGTAAGTCGGTGGCACCGAACTGAGCACGAAATTTCTGGTTTTACAAGTGTTTTAAACGTTTCGCGACGTTTCGGGGCGCGACGACGAAATTAGGTTGGACGGAGCCGTGGATCGGATCGCCGGGATGCTCGTGTGTATAGTTTTCACGGCACGAACCGCGGTATCACAGTAGCTCTAGGAACACACGTTTTAGGTTTAAAAAGCGGTGAACGGAAAGCGCGTAGAGCGCGATGGGTTCAAATTAAACGAAAATGGTAAAACAAAAAAAAAAAAAATATAAACACGTAACGAAAAGGATTCAAGCGCAAGTATATGCTTTTAAAAAATGAAGTAGGGATCGTAATTCGCATTGGGAGAGAGAATTTTTATCAGGGCCGGTTGCCGAAAGGAGTGCCATAAACGTCCACGACGAGAAACGACGCAGAGAACAGAGTTTGGCGGGAAAACGAGGGGTAAACGACGATGTGCGAGTACAGAGCCCCGCGAAAACGATTATAAATCGATATGAATCTCCTGTGAACGTCGAGGAGCAAAACGAAACTACTGTGATTTACACTCGAAACGAGAGGAAAAAAAAAGAAAACGCCCGAGATTACGTATCACGAAAAATGTGTAAAAAAAAAAGAAAGAAAAGAAAATCGTAAAAAAACCGGAAAATAATTTCGACCGATGTTCGTCACTTTCAAAGTCTGTTTTACTCTATAATTTTATAATTGTCATGTCCGAACGACGACATTCGTATGCAATTTATCCTAAGGATTATCACGACCAAAAATCAACCAACGCGTTATCACCAACCCTCCCGTTCCATCATATTATCAAATCGATCGGTGTAATCTGCGTCGATCCGTCGATTATTCCATCGTTTTTGTAAGAAACGCGCAGCCACCACGATCGTTAACGCGGGAGCGTAGCGGCGCCATCGTAAGTCGCCATTACAAGCATTTGCAATGGCCGCGGTTCGAGTTCCGGGCGATTACGAGCAGAGCTGGGCAAACTCTATTTCAAACTCGATCTAGAACGCCAACGATTTGAAATAACATTTGTCTTCTATCCGCGATAACGTTACTTACATTTCAACAGAATAACTATTCGTTTCATAGGAGAGCAATTTCAAATAAAATCATTCAATTTTGTTTCCGTTCCATTTCAAATATCGTTTAAATAGAGTAACACGTTTGAAACGATATTTCGAATACTATTGTTTCGGAAGTGCCCAACGATCGCTACTATATTATTCAAGGCTAATTGGCTCGAATCACTTCGAAAACGAACGAAAAACGTCCCTAGGGACTGAAAGAAGTCCGAAAACGCCGGATATCCTATGCTCCTGCATTAAACTGCGATCCTAACCTATCCAGATTTCATAAGTACATAACGTTATTGAAGATGATATAACATATAGTTAAATCACACATGTAACCTAGGTTTGATATCGATGCGCGAGGCTTGTGACTGGGACGTAGAGATCGATGTATAGTTGATTATCGTTTAAACGTGCGCGAAAAAAAAAACGAGAGAACAGAGGGCAAACAGAAACGAACACAACGCATACATTGTAACCCCTGTTACGAAAGTGTTAACTACTAAAGGCCATCGTTTCACGTGCGTACCACACACTGATACACATACGAGGAGACGATTCACATCTACATACATACATACACATACGTATGGTAAAAAGCGCGTATAACTTACGTCTGTATGCTGTGATAGAAGTAAGCGTATCAACAATCGGAAATAAATTTCTCGCGTGAAATTCGTTTCGATTGTGTGCACCCTCCGAATCCCATAATCGAAGTTAGACGTAGATCCCTTCGGTTACCTTTCGAACAGAGATTGGGACATTATTCTTATCTAGATATACAAATCTTGAACAAGGAATAAAAAATAATCGTGTAACGTTTTAATTATGAACAGTCATTTTTTTCGCAAAAATCTCAGCATTGGTACACCATCCTTTTTTTTTAAAGATAACGTCAAAACTACAGATATTAACATTTTAAATATATCATAACTTTTTATCGTACCAATATTTGTTTGATATTCCATTTAATGAAACTCGACTGTGCAAAATTTTTATCCATCTCTGCTTTCGAACACACGTCCTATCGATCCTGTACTTATGACGCGTCAAGGTTATTTTTCCACTATACGTCACGACAGTGTGCCCAATTTTTCGACAGAGAACACTTACTTATTTGTTTGCGTAGACCAAGTGATACGGAAAGCGTGATCTTTCGAAAAGCACAGATTGTATTATTCGGCTCCTCTCTCGGCCGACCTTGAGAAACTAACGAGCACAGTCCAGTCTTATTTACCCCTTATTGAGAAACATGTCGCTTGAAGACCAATGTCGGTCAGCTATGAATACCGTAGTACGAATGAAACGTTCAATGTGGGTCGCTGGTCGTAGCAACAATTTATCCAAGTTCACTGAAATATGTTTCCTTTGATACTGTAGCTAACCTCTTTCTTTTTGAATTTTTATCTCGGCTTCAAATCTTGAAAGTGTTACTTCGTGTCACACACCCCACCTCTCTCTCTTGGGTCTCGTCTTTCGCAAATCTAGAATATGGAACATCGTTTGACGTAATCGTTCCGACCGAAAGCAACGTTTTAGCGTAGAAGAGGTAAAGAATATTTTCAGTTCACTCGCGACGTCAATGCAATATTCTTGGTCGTTTGGATAACAGTAATTGGGTACTTTGCCCTAATTCGCGCTGACGACAAACTGGTGACAATTAGTTGCTGCTCGTGATATTTTGGCGACAAGTCTGAGAGAAACGTTACTGCAATCGTCATGTGGTTTGGTAGACAATTAAAGAGAGGACTCATTAAAATACAACGGGAAGCAAGCGATAGAATCCTAAATAAACGACGATCGCGATGACGTAGTTTCAGGTACGCTGCTTAATCATGAAAATAGAATATGGATGCGTGAAATCCGTCGGTTATCGAGAAACGTCCATCCTGGTCCATCCATATTCCAGTCGTAATTTAAGTTCGTCATTCGGATGTGCTTTGTCTTCGGAGCTCCGTTGATTTTGAACGGACACTTCGCTCCCCGATGAATTCATGAATGTTAATGTCTAGCAACGGACAAGTTATTCGTACCTTAGAGTTGTCGTATAAGCGTTTTTATTTTCATTTTTAATTTTCTATAAATTGGCATAATAAAAGAGAATACGTTCATGTTGAAAATACGATGAAAAGTTAGTTCAGGTTCATTTACCGTTAAACCAGCTGTTAAAGCAACCGTGTTACAGACGATATCAGAACTCTGTAACGTCTATGATTACGTTTCAGGACGCCGATCTGCTCATTTTAGGAACCAAAATGTGATCCACCGAAGATAGGAGATATCGTAAGAAATACAAACGATTCGAGTATGTCGTGTATCCAATGTGAAAAAATTTATTAACAAATGATTTTATATTACAACGATGACGAATCGATGCCAGACCGTATCCCATCAGCAATGGTGAAGTTCGACGACGAGGAACGACTACGTTGGTTACGTGGATTCGAACATGCCAATACCCAATAATAAATTTCTTCTGGAAAAATGTAACGCAAGGACGGGGGAGTTTTTCGTCGGGAAAGTCCTCAAAAGATACGCTTCCGCGTTTGTCTTTACATCCGGATTGTGAGACACGTTCACGTCCTCTAAACTCATTTCCTCCGCAAGTTTCGTAAAATCCCACAGTTTAATCGTGGAGTCCAACGATCCTGCGAACATAATATTCGGTATGAAAATCTTTGTTCGATCACCGCTTAAAAATCGTAATGTTAAAAGACCCGATAATAACCTGAGACCAATATATTCCCATCCCTGCTGAACGTCAAACAATGAATGGTTCCAGAATGATTGGATAAAGCAGCGACAAGATGGCCGTGTGCCAGATCCCAAACTAAAACGCGATGATCTGCTCCAGCGGATGCTAGAAACCGACCTTCTGCGGAAAAAGCAAGGGAGTAAATTGGGGCTTTGTGACCCGTCATTAATCTGACTTGGCTACCGGTTACGCAGTCCCATAATCTTACTGTCATGTCGCTGGAACCGGTCGCCACGTAGTTCGAGTTTGGATGAAACTGTACTACCTGAAACAGAATTCACAAGTTCCACAACAAAACACGTCCACTTCTAATATTCGCGCGTCGTAAATTAAAAATAATAGTAGAAACGTACTTACATCTACGTCCGAATAATGACCGGCAAATATCCGAAGAGGCTGATGGGAATCGGTTGCCCAGAGCCTGGCAGTTTTGTCGTGAGAAGACGTAGCGAAATAATAACCGTGAGACGAAAATCTGACGCACCACACTGGGAACAAATGTCCCTTGTAGCATACGACACACGTCCATGTATGTAGGGACCATAGTCTGACTGTAATACATTTATAATTTTAAGACCTTAACGAATCACAGGTTAAGAACCATTGCTACTGTAACATACCTGTGCTATCTTCCGACGATGAGAGAAGAAGATTTCTGTCTGGACTGAATGACAAACTATACACGGGACCGTTATGTCCGTACAGAGACCTTGACGATTCCGCTGTACGATCATCCATCATTCTCACCAACACGTCATCTGTCGTATTATGACATAAACGCATGTTTAATGCACGATGTTACAAAAACATTTAGGTTCTGTTACAATTAACAAACACTACCTGCTTCTCTGTCGATGTCCTGTAATTGTTCGCCGGTTTTCATCAGTCTTAATTTCTGTGGAATTAACGTCCACACTTTTATACTAGAGTCACTGAATCCGATGGCCAGTAAACTCGAGTCCTCTGCCACTTCCGCCGCTGTTACACTGAGTCTCGTGTTACAAATACATTAAATTTAACGCAACACAATTAATCTTTGCGTGGGACTTACGTATGAATAGCGTTCAGAAGCGTGTAAAAGCAGATAGAGGGTAAGGTGTCTGGACCAAGCACCACGCGTTTCGATGCTTCCCTTAGAGCTTTTACCTTCTCCAATTTATCAGCGTCTTTTCTGTACTTGAACGAATCGCGTTAATCGTGATAAGAATTGTACAAAGCTAATTTTACCGACAATCTTCCTTACAAATTGGGCAAAGGCATTCTACCGACGGGTGGTGCGTTCGGATCTGATTTGGTTTTCTTTGAAAATAAAGGATCTTTCTTAGCCTTTTTCTTTTTTGGTTTGTCTCCATCTGCACCGCCTGTATCGTCCTCCTCTTCTTCGGTCGGAGGCACGCATTGGATGTCTGGTTCCTTCAGAAGTCCATAATATACTTTTGCCTTATTATCTAAAGTATAAATTGACGTTAAGAAAAACAGCATCTTTCGTTCGCCTTGGGAAGACTAGTACGTTTCATCGTTTTATCCCGATAACTATCATGCTACCCATGATCTCACCTTGCCTGGTCGCCTCTCCGACTACCGCGCCCGATGTAGCATCGATTTGTTGTTTATTTCTAGCTACTCCTTCGTACATATCAAAATAAAGATGTTCTTGTATGATGTTTAATAACACACTGTGTTTTTTTTCTTGTAAATGTCGTTTTAATATAGAAAGGGTATCCCTCGACATCCTGATTATAAACTGATTGGATCTGTGAAACATTTTACGTAATTCGTACCGCGAAATCTTGGAATGATCGAACGTCGTGCAAAAACAAGTCGTGCGCATACTTAAAAGTATCAGTTAACTCGTTTCCGGCCATCTGTTCGCGTCTGGTAACGTTAGACAATCTTTTCAAATCATTCTGATAATATTCTTCCAGATTCCCGCCAAATTTCTCTAGAAGTTGTTTTGCTTCCTCCGAATGATTATTATAAACCAATTCGAGATACATGTGTACCAAGACTGGGTATAATATTGTGCCCAATTCATGCTGTTTTATAACAAATCTATGTTTCATATTTTGTAACAACCATATAAACGATAAAACTGTATTTGATTAAAGCATTTTGTAGCCTTTAATCTATATATAGTACACCATGATTTACCTTGTATATATCTAGAGAACCCTCTACAAATTTTTTTAGTTCGCTGTATGCTTTTTCGTAGAGTGCAGGGTCTCCCTCGCTTTTGTATGCAGAGAGTACACTGTTTACTTCGGAATCAGTTTGCTGAGCTTCATCCGGAGAGATATCTGTTAGATTCGCTTCTTTTCGAAATAGTTCTTCCGTTCCCTACAAGTATGATACATACATAATTAAAAAAGGGTAACATCTTTATTTTACATGAAAATACCATAGTTGACCAGTCAATTACGGGTTAACGTTCAATGTTTATATTAGTTTTTGAGGTTAAAAATCGCTCGATAACGAAATACTTTCTGACATACCTTCAGATTATACTTCCGAAGTAGCTGCAGAACCGCAAGCATGGTAGTTTTCTCGTTGTCCATTTTTATCTAAACTATTATGTCAAAAAATTGAAATATTTGTTAATAAACAAACAGCGCAAGGGACGCACCCCACCTTTAGCATCGTACGTACAAGTGGCGCCAGAGATGCCAGACGAAGCACCGGATGCACCGGGGACCAGTGACTGCAGTGTGGCCAGATCTGGCATAATTGAGTGCATCGACGTCGACATTAGTAACGATGAACTTCCTTAGCGTCTAACGGAGTGGTGGGGATAGCAGGCATATACTACCGCTCGAGCCACGCATGCGTGAGCTCGACACTTCGCGCAGCTTCGGGAAAACGATAAAGAACGCTAGCGTGAGCCTTTCCTTCTTGCTCTTGTAACAACTGAAATACGATCTCGCGATAATCGGCATACGATTCCAAGTCTCGACTGCCCCAGCATTTTTACTTTCCGACCTATGCAAGGTGAAAGGAAAGTACCATAACGAAGAAAAATTTCGAAAACTTTTTTTAGCGAAAATACACGTTTTAAGACCCACTGATCATATTGTGACTGTTAAAAAAAAGAAATTTTTTTTCTGTGCCTAAACGACTGAATGTATTTCAATGAAACTTTACATTTATGTTTTATATTCCCGTTTCAATGTCTGATTAAATTTTGAGCGTGATCAGCTCCCGGATAGTGATGATTATACGTGTTATAGTTTTATAATTACGATCTAAATAGGAGAATTAATTGCTAAAGAAATAGATTAATCCTGACTTTTTCCGCTATGTTTTTCAATAACCGTATCAATTTGTTACACAGAATCAAATGTTATACAGGATGTACGGCCGCCCCTGGGAAAAATTTTAATGTGAGATTCTAAAGGCCAAAATAATACGAAAATCAAGAATATCAATTTTTTGATGAGCTCCGTTATAAGTTGATTACACAAAAATTTCGAATCGTATTCTAGCACACATAAAATTATTTTAGTTGCGGATGGTCAGTTACCTCATTTTGGTAAATAACATCTGACACCTACGCACGTTCGAGCAGAATTTCCTGTACAGACATCTAACGCGAGACCATAATGCACACCCGCACTCATCGCGAAGTTGTTTTGCTTCCTCCGAATGATTATTATAAACCAATTCGAGATACATGTGTACCAAGACTGGGTATAATATTGTGCCCAATTCATGCTGTTTTATAACAAATCTATGTTTCATATTTTGTAACAACCATATAAACGATAAAACTGTATTTGATTAAAGCATTTTGTAGCCTTTAATCTATATATAGTACACCATGATTTACCTTGTATATATCTAGAGAAACCCTCTACAAATTTTTTAGTTCGCTGTATGCTTTTTCGTAGAGTGCAGGGTCTCCCTCGCTTTTGTATGCAGAGAGTACACTGTTTACTTCGGAATCAGTTTGCTGAGCTTCATCCGGAGAGATATCTGTTAGATTCGCTTCTTTTCGAAATAGTTCTTCCGTTCCCTACAAGTATGATACATACATAATTAAAAAAGGGTAACATCTTTATTTTACATGAAAATACCATAGTTGACCAGTCAATTACGGGTTAACGTTCAATGTTTATATTAGTTTTTGAGGTTAAAAATCGCTCGATAACGAAATACTTTCTGACATACCTTCAGATTATACTTCCGAAGTAGCTGCAGAACCGCAAGCATGGTAGTTTTCTCGTTGTCCATTTTTATCTAAACTATTATGTCAAAAAATTGAAATATTTGTTAATAAACAAACAGCGCAAGGGACGCACCCCACCTTTAGCATCGTACGTACAAGTGGCGCCAGAGATGCCAGACGAAGCACCGGATGCACCGGGGACCAGTGACAGTGGCCACACTGATGCCAGATCTGGCCACACTGCCGGGGACACCTCATTCCACTTTCTCACCCATGCCAGATCACGCGTACGTGAACTCGTAGAGTTTCGGAGAGTCGGCAAAGGCAAACTGACACATGCCCTCTTTCTCGCTTCACCCAAGCTGCCCGAAGTAATTTCGGACCGTCTTATGGGAGTCGAGAGAGGAAGGCTCACATTTGCCTTCTCGCTGTTGTAACAGTGTATACAATTTATTGTACTGTTATATTAGGTCGCGTTTTGTTGATATCACTGATAAAAAATGACCATATGTATCGTGTATACGATCTCTTGATCGAACAAGTATCGTATGGAAGCTTTAGAAAACTATTTAAAAGTTTTCTCAAAACGAGTAAAGAACTTAAGTAATAAGAGATGGGTATTGAAATTGTTGAATAGAAGCATCATCTAACAGAAAAATCTATACGTTTCAAAGATAAAATGTTCAGATTTATTTTCCATCATGAAAGTATACTGTTGCGTGGGTTTCCAGTAAATTAAAGTCTTAAAGCAGAAATAAACAGATTCAAGGAAATTAGAACTCTAATTACAGATTTCTAGAAATTGTAGATAAATAATACAATTTTGTTTTATAGCGGGTGCATAATTACATGGGTTTGAATATTATTGATTTTATAATAAACAATATCACAATTACACGAAGTATGTCAGACAGTTACACAATTTAACCTAGCTATGTTCACAGAGGAACAAGATCAAAGACGCATAGTACAGTAAAGGTAAGAATCGTAACAATACATACATCAAGTATTATTAAAATAGAATTCATATTCGTATCTGTTTGTATCAATATAGTATATATAGATATAAGTAAGAAACAGTAAATATATAGTATTAAAAACAGTATCATCTAATAGAAATACCTAGTACCGTTTAAGAATATTTTTCTTATCATCGCGAACCAGTCAATTTCTAGTTTTTACGAGACTCGTATACTCTGAATACTTTCTAATGTTTAAACATGTCTGGAACATGCGGAATAAGTAATAAATTTAATGTAAAACATGTATAAAGCTATAGATTGTTCGTAAATATTGGCATGTGAACATCTTTGTATAGGAACAGTAGCATTTATAGATTCATTTCAACGTGAAGCGCGTATCATTCGAATTTGTAACGTATCGAAGGACGAATAAGTCAACAATAAATATAGGTACACACGTTCAAACTTGAAAATTTACTTTAAATGCAGACAAAATTTATCTTTTACTCTGGTTATGCAGATTTTAAGAAATGAGAGCCAGTAGACACTTCTTATAATGACCGGAACAGTCGCCCTGAAATAAGATTCAAATATTAGAAATTTAAATGATTCTATTTAGGCGAACGTTCTTATACCTCTCTTTTCCTTTTCAATCGAGAAGAAAAAAACAGAGACAATTGAACGTCCGTCTTTTTGACGATCTGATTTCAGATCCAAGTGTTTAGGTATACTAACGGAAATGAAATTCTCCAAAGACTCGTTATACTGATGCCTGAACATTTCTTTTATGTCTCCCATGTCTACCTCGCAACGCGTGACGATTAATCTGATCAAACGATTGTCGTCCGTGCCGAGACCCTTCATACTCTTGTACAACTGTTCGGCGAAGAAACCGGCTCTGTTTTTTACACATTTCACTATCGTGGAAAATAAATAATAAAATCATGTATATTGTATACATATGTATCTTTCGATTAAAAGGCAGTTCCATACGTCGAGTACGTACCAATCGCAAGAAGGCCTTTCTTAACGTCGCCCGAGAACTCGTTCTCGATAGCGCTTTCGATGTCGTGGCCGGTTATGTTTTCGTATTCTATGAATATCTGTTTCAGTTGAGGAACGTTCCTTTGAACGAGAATTGCATTGAATATTGACTCATCGGTCCCGAAACGAAGCTCGCCTGCGAAAGCAACGAAAAATGAGAAATTCGACTTGTCGAGGAACTTTCCTCAGAGATCACGTCGTATTAATAAGTTAGCTACCGGCTCGGAGAAGTTCCTTGGCATCTTCCATCGCGGCAGATGGATTCACGTCGAATGACTCATCTCTGTTGGCACAACACAACGATACCATTAAACGTTTGAAGTTACCGGATGTATCGCCTGTTAGGTCATCCTCCAACGATCTTCCGTACACTAAAAACAATGCAATTCACAATCAGTAACTTGCAACGGTAACTGTTTGAAAATTATTGCCCGTGGAACTTACTTGCTTCGTAAGCCTGTTTAATAACACGAATCTCGTGATTAGACATAGTGCATAGTACTTCGATCAGTACGCATTCATCAGTACCGACACCAGACATCGCATCGTGTAGTTCTTTGGCATAATACTGGGGTAGTGGCATCATCATATCAAGAATCAGTTTTTCGAAATTACCGGACAATTCTGATTTCAAGTCCTTTATAAGATCCTGTTTAAATACGACATGTATCAGTTGAGCTCATCTACATTGAATTAAAATTTTCAAATCTTACTTTTCCATAGAGAGTCTTGAATTGGACGGCAATTTCTTGGCGTTGCAGATTACTGCGATTGGCAAGTACGTTAATGATTGTCTTTTCGTCCGTACCGAATCCCTTCATGGCTTTTCTCAAAGCTTCCGCGTCAGCCCTGGCATCGAAATCGCTGTAGGGCACGACGGTTGGGGATAACTGTAACATAAATCGACGATCGTATGTAAGTTACATTACCCATAACGAAGAGTTCAAAAGCAATTAGTTTTTTATTAGCGCAGCTTTTCACACATATTCCATCGGTCTCACCTTAGGCGTAAACTGATTTCTCCGGGGGGCTGGGGCTGGGTGAGAATGCTGGGGTGGAGCAGATTTACCTCCGTAAGGAGAATATGTTCCTGCGCCCTGCCCCCCAGAATAGCTTCCGCCTTGGTACATGCTTGCGTTATTTGTATAAGTAGTAGGAGCGGGGTAAGGAGAAGGTTGGTTGAAATATTCTCGGGCATCTGGTGCTCCTTGAAGATTCGGATACATGCCACAGTTTTGCTGCTGTGGATATGCAGAAGGTTGAGCAGGATAAGGTTGCTGGGGTTGTTGAGACGAATAAGGCATAGAACTAGGCATAGGATACGGTGTTTGCTGTGTAGGGCCTCCTGGTGCTAGGGGAGGTGGACACTGTCCAGGTACAGGATGATTAGGTTGCGGTGGATACGCAGTCTGAGGGTAGGGAGAATAAGGTTGTGGCATTCCGAAAGACATCGGGGGAGCATTTGAGAAGCCTACATTGCCACTTTGGGGATACGGCGGAGCACTGGGGGCAGAGGGCGTACCAGGCGGAGCCCCGAACGATGTTGGTGGTGGCATGTGTCCCGGAAACTGAATCACCGGTGGTCCCTTTGATATTAAGGTGCAAATTAAAACAACACATTTACTTTTTCATGTGTGCCTTCTATACTCTGGTCAACGAGGTGAGTCAGCAAAAAAAATACAAACTGTTCGTTGACCAAAGTACACAGCTGTTTAGTATATACTGTGGAAATATAGAGAGGATTTAAAATAATTTTTTGATTATATACAATGTTGTGGATGTTTGATTAAAGAATTATTGCAAAATTTATATATAAACGTGCATAAAAACCACTAAAATATTGCAATATCTAATCTACCAATCGAGCAAATCGTACTCACTTGATATCCGTAACTCATTTTTTTATTTTATCAAAGTAAACTGCTAGTGAAGTGGAATCTGTAATAAAAAGAAATCGAGTGCTTAATTAAATAAGAGATAACGATTAAGAATAAACAATCGCGACTCTGTATTTACGATTTTGCAAACGAAACACGGATGAAGGAAGTAGAAGGTTGGTAACGCCCACCGAGGACAATAGAAATCAGTCCGTATAGTTTGTTACGAAATACTGACAAACAAAATCACGGTCAGCTAAGCTTTATACACAAACTGTTATCTCAACTGATGAGATTTAGAGCTTACCTAAGCTTTCACCGAATTCTTTTATATAAGTACTAAATACTTGGTACTCGTGTCGTGTACGTGGCTACGTTTGACTACGTTTACCGTGACAAAACAGTTTCTTACACAAATTTAATAGAAACGTCGTTTCAGCGGAAGCTGTAGTGGGAGAGTAAAGCTATCGTTTACCAGCTGTTGACGTCATGGGTACTGAGAAAAACAGTGACGTTTCAACAGTCAACAAACTATTTTAAATATAGATATTTACATATACTATTGTAAATATATATGTAAAATGTCTAGCTCTGGTAAGCGGGAAAACTAAAATCTGCTAACAACGTGCTAAAGAGAAATATTATACTAATGGCGTCTTAACCATTTGCGTTGGAAATTGGGAAATTGAAAAAATTATGCAACGAAATCCGATACAAAAGTGTCATAGTTATTTTTCTTTTAATTCCAATGAACACAATCATTCGCATCTAGAATAGATACGTTCCTAAATAACAAGTGTTCCATTAAGCTATCGAATACTCCTATTTGCTATGCAATAACAGAGATGCCAGAAAAGCACCGTCGGGCAGAGGTGCCAGAAAGCATCCACGGTGCAATACTCACACATGCCAGATCACGCGTACGTGAGCTCGTGGAGTTTCGGAAAGTCGACAAAGGTAAACTGACGCATGCCCTCTTTCTCGATTCTCCGAAGCTCCCCGAAGTAATTTCGGACCGCCTTGTGGGAGTCGAGAGAGAAAGGCTCACATTTGCCTTCTCGCTCTTAACAACTGAAATCCGACCTCTCGTCAACGGCATACGATTTGGATTCTCGAGCCGAGATTCTCGACTGCCCAGGCATTTTTACTTTCCGACCTACATATGTAGGCGCACATAAGCAAAGTACCCATAATGAAAAAAAAATTGTGTAAAATTTATTTTACGGAAATACACGTTTTAAGACCCCCTGATCATATTTTAATTATTGAAAAAGAAGAAATTTTTTTATTAGTCCTATGTATGAGCGCACATATGTATATTATTAATACGATTGAGTATAAATAGCTGAATGAATTTAAATGAAACTTTACATTTAAGTTTCATGTTCTCATTTCAAAGTCCGGTTAGACTTTGACTATAATCAGTCCATGGATAATAATGATTATACCTCTTGTTTCATAGTTGTTCCGATGTATAGGCATAATGTATAAAAAACCTTTTAAATGTTTCATATAAATCTTAGGACGAATTAAATTTTATGTAAAAAAAATTGGTAATTATTTAGAAAAGGTCGGGTCTCACCGATTTTGATGATTTTTGAATATGTTGTAGAAATCAACATTTTGAACAACTTTTTCCTATACATATAACCGCCGCTCGGCCTTAGTTTCCGAGATTTTTCATCAAAAAGATCGCCGTTACTTCTCTTCTCAAAAGACTTCTCTTATCGAGCTAAGGAAAGGAATCGAATACTGTAAATTATTTTGTCAAGCGACAAATAGGGAAAACCATAGAAAGAGGCGAGGTGGCACAGACAAATGAGTCAAGCAATCTTCAAAATAATTTATTAAAAATGTCGCATACTCGATATTCGAATCGGTAATCAATAATGGTATAATTAGTAACTATATGCATGTCGTGTGAGCATGTCTCCGGAGGTTTTGTTCAAATGTTTACGTCTGGCGGTGATCGATCCCCTATTTTTCTCATCAATCATCCCACAAAAGTGTCCTTCAGGTCGCGCGACACGATCTCGTTAACGTTATTACGTTTCTATAAATAGTAGTGATTAAATTATAATCATTAATTTAAGTTGTTTTCTCAGTTACTCAATTCATTTGTGTCATTCAAGTATTTCATTGTTGCGTATCAATGACGTCTCGATAGGTTTCACGTTCGTTAATTAGTTACGAATCAACGACGATGAGTCACTGAGATACGTAATCAGTTTTACTCATTTGTTTCTAGTCGCTCTGACGTTCGATCGGTACCGTCGACCTGACAGACACAATCACAACCAAATTTTGTGTACGTTGTGTACTTGTATACGTGTAGTATGTGTGTGTGTGTGTATGTGTGTGTGTGTTACGCAACGTGTGTAACGTGTGTTATTGTCGGGTCTGTTCCTGACTTTACTCTCGCCGCAAACCAGATAATCTCTTCTTACAATGAAATGCTTCATATTTTTCGTGCATCCGTTCGCGATCATTTCATCGGTATAACTTAGCGTCAGGAATCGAGAGAATTTCAGGGTCTCGAGGTATCGACTATTTCTTCTCTTTCGCAATTTTCGTTCATTTTGAAGCTATTGAAAATATTCGAAGAAATCATTAAAACATTTCACGGTACGCGAACCGTGTCCTTGATTTGTACAAAATACCAAATGATCGGGACGATTCGAGGAGATGAAACTAAGGATGATTCTTTCGATTCGAGGCTGCAGATGGGGAACAACGAATTGTGGGAACGCCGACCGTGGTGCACTTTCGCGCGGGAATTTCTCTTTCGAGAGTAACTTCGCGTGCCAGTAGTTGGTAACACTGAACTTTAGCAACCGCTGTTAACGGCAATTCAATCCAATGCGAAAAACGTCGACGGTTGGAGAAAACGATACTTAATGGCTTACTTGTTACTTTTTTTTTTATCGATCGTAATGATGATTATTGCGGAGCGCCGAAGCGTTCGAGACAATAAGCGTTTTCGGCAGTCTTCGGGAAGAGTTCATAACCCAAAAAAGTTCTGTGCGACTAGATAAACCAGGTCTGCTTACCGGTCAATCCCGCGGGTTGCCTCCTCCGTCCTCATTCCATTATCATGGCGCACAAATTTACTGATCATTTTTAATTAACGTCAGTTTTTTAATGAGCAATGCAGTCGATACGATTGTATTTCCATAATTATTTCTATCGAACGAATACGATTTTTTTTCTAACGATTAGACAATTAACCGATATAACGGATTTTGTGGAATGTTTAGTTCGAATCAAGAGGTCTGGCTAGTTTAAAGACAAAAAGAAATCAATTTTTGTTCATGTTTTGTCTTAAGCTTTAGATTTTAATTAAAATATGGTGAAAGGACTATCGTTTGTAAAACCTGCGTTATATAATTTTCACATAAGATAAATGCCCAACCAATGCGACAACTTATGAACGATAGTGTATAGTTATACGAAATAATATTTTTTATTTTTTACACGGGAGTGTCAGAACGAGAATTATCAAATCAACCGTGAACATAAGTTTTTGTGTCCATATACATAAATTATTAAAATTGATATGTCTAATAGTTTCTTTCTCCAATTCTTAGGACTCTTCAAATAGTCCAACTAGTCAAACCTCCCAGACTCAGTTTTAAAAATCTTTAATCCGTCATAACTCGGAGAAATGGTTTCTTTTTATACTGTAGATTTACCTTCCAAGGTATCGACACGACACGATATGGTTCTTTATAGGAAATTGCGCGTTTCAGCAACGAAACCATCGAATGCAGTGATCGAGGGCGGGGGCGACGACCCAAGGATCTCTCCTAGGCGTGCACAGGCCTGAGATAAATGATACACGAGTCAGTCGATGAGTTCTAAACTCCCTGCTTTACGTTACGTCTTTCTTCTCACTGTTTGTTTGGTTTTTTTTTCTTGTTTTTTTAATTCTTTTCTTTATACGTAACGGTTCGTCGAGGAATTAACTTAATCGTCTTGTGCAGTTTCATCGGTGTTCACGATCATGACGCGCTTAATTATGTACAATAGAACCGCGCGAGCTTCGTCGATTCGACTGGCGGAAGAATTACAGACGTTCCGTCCTCGTATTCTTTTTTCTTTCCCGTTCGCTAGCGTCTCGTTCGAGACAGCGGATCGCCATGATTGCTCGCGAAACTGCCGAAGGGAACCCTTTCTTTTCGATTTTTAGCTGTCTCGTCCAATTATCGCCTTTGGAACAGACGATGTTTAAACAGTTTAAAAACTTTCCTTTCCTTTTCGTTCTTTCGACGTTTCGCGAGAAAGTTAGGCTTCCAACGAATCGACGAGTAAACGTTTCGACCATTAATCCCAGCGCGCTCATGGATATGGTTTACATCGTAATTAGTTAACGTTCTAATCGTCTACATTAGTTATTCGGTAACTTAGATCGTGATCTAGAATTAGTTTAAAATTCATACGTGTACACCTTATCGTTTATTTACAAATCGAGTCGCTCATCGATTTCGTTATTTATTTACACGCGCGGTGTCCGCGATGGCCGTCGGCCCGAACTCGCAACTGGGACCAATTTCATTCGTAGCTAAAAGTCGTTTAAAACTTTAAACTTTGAACGACTTTTAGGCCTCGTGCGGACGAGATTTCTTTCTTTTCTTTTTTTTTTTTTATCCACGATCGTACGTTCCTTGTTTTTTCAATAGAAAAAGAAAAACGAAGACAGACGTACGATCGCGGGTTAATCGTAAAATCGTTCGGTTCGCTAGTTCACGATTCCCTCCGGAATTACTATAAATATCGTCGTAATTTGCGACTCGCTGGGACCACAATTCACCGTGACCTGCATGGCTTGTTTTCTCGCTCGAATAAATAAAGAAGAGTACAATAACAAGTTCGTTTATTGTCCACGCGATTCTCTGGCCGATGGCCCCCGCGGCTGGCTGTCTCTAAACATGGCCTGTACAGCGATTTATGGCAATTCGCAGAAACTCGTCGCTTTTTCATTGAAAGTCACACTCGAGGAAAGAGAACCGCGCTCGTGGATCGTACAGTGGAATATAGAAATTTCGATTCGACCGTTCGAGTCCCGGTTTCACGTACAAAATGGCCGACGTGTCGCAGGAAACTGTGACACTTTGCACAAATTAAAATTTACCTTAATTCGCGGGTTAGCTTGCTAGTTTCCGACGCGAAACAGGAAAAATTATTCCGTGGAAATCGAACGGTTTATCGTTAGCGAGCAGACGAAAGTTCCAGCCAAATATAACGTCGATTCGGCCACTCGAGTAGCAAATCAAGCAACTTTTCTCGTTTTACGGCGAGTCGAACTAACTTACAATTAGTCGTTGAACGTTTTTAATTATTAAGTCTTCGAGATAGTTATCATTCGCGGCCGGGAAGAATCCTATCTACGGTTAGACACCACGATTTTGTTCGTACAACCTTCAGATTCTTCCGAGGCACGAATGATAGTTTTCGTTTGGTACCTATTCTTTTTTTTTCACTCTATGGTTACACGAAACGATCCTTTTAGCAAGCAAACGTTGAAACCCGATGCACGCGTGCGTCCTGTACACATTGGACTCGGTGCACGCAAGCGTTGAAACGACGCACGATTGTTTTAATACGAACGAGTTACGATATTAGCGGTTCAAAGGAAACGGTACAAACCAGCACGAAAAAACTGTTTATTTGTACGCAACCGGGAGGCTGCACCTTGTTACATGGTATTGCCAACGCCAGCGTGCCCCGGGAGCTTTGATCGCAAACGAATCGGTACAGTGTGTGTGCAAAGTAAAAGAAAAAATGGCAGTGAACTCGAGCCTCGGTTTCAGAAAGAGCCTGGTACGATCGTCGTCCGGATTTCACGGGGATCCCCGGAGCAAGAGCAGCGAGATTTGGGGGGACGCGAAAATGATTCAGTCTTCGATTCTCCGGATCGTCGCGTAATCGCACGGAGAGATTTTGATTTGTCACGTCGATCGAACCAGGAAAACTGAAATGTTCAGCGGGCGCATTGGTCCTCGGAACGCAAACAGACATCGTCGAAAAGGAGGTGTGGGGTTTCGTTGCACGAGCGAGCGACACCTTTCGTACAAAAGGAGGATCATACCGATTCGTATCGAGCGAATTAACGTTACGCGATAAACAAGAAACAGTAACGAGCATTCCCGTTAAGGACGTCAATCGTATACGCTTTGAATCTCGACGAGAACTCCTTTTCTCCCTCTCGTCGCGAAATTGTGCTCTCGAGTATTCGTTAAGAAACGCCCGCGATCAACCGTAATCCCCAAAGCAATTTTGTCGAAGAATTAACTTGACGTTAGATTTACGGAATATCCCGTATTCCATACTTATAAATATTATTTTTCAGCGATTCACGTCGAATTTCATTAACGTAACGATACGAATCTCTGTTAACAGATTTAAATAAAACAATCTACGTGCAATCAATGTCCGTAAATTTGGCATTAATCATGCGAACGGGACCGGGCCGTGATCCAGCGAGCGTTTCCGGTAACGACTGTTGCCCTTTTGGCACTACTTAAATTATACGGTTAATTAATCAAGTGAAAAAATTCTGAATACATTATAACGATTGTCTTTCGTGAACGTATAATAATGGAGGGTCGGTACACAATATTTTTTTCATCGGTGTTCGACTGTGGCTTTCGTTTGTCGCTGTTTTCTTAATTATTGTTGCGTGCACGGCGAAAACAGCGAGAAATAACGATGGCGGTGCTTCCGGCTAGCTGACAGCGACGTTTTCGATCGCGCGCTGTGTATTTTATTTATTTATTTATTTTTCTTCTTATTTCCCAGTTCCTATTCGCCTTCGTTTTGTACCTTCTTCCCCGTTCGATTCGTTTCGCATCCTGCTTCCGAAGGTTCGCCTTTATTCTTCGCGTCCTATGCTTATCGGCTAGTAGTAAAGCGGTTCTGTGCAGGGCCTCCGTTCGCAACGGCGCCTTGAAAAGAAATAAATTCAGTTAGTAAACGTTAAACTGTCCTAGAATCATTGCGTGCGAACGGAGACGCGTGCTCAAACATCGTTATCCCGATACAAATAGATAAATAATCAATTATGTACAAGTATGAACAAGGTGTACAAGTGATGGCGTCGGGTGTGCCGCGTCGATCCTTGGATCCGCCAAAGTCACCTCGTCGATTCTCGTCGACTACACCCTCAGCCGGGTGTAACAATTCTTAAACGGAGCACAGCTCCGCGGAAAACAGCATTTATATATATCACATAATTTCAGGCTACCATAGGTTCTACCTTTCGTACTCGTTCTTCCCGAAGTCTTATCGTTAGTGTATGTAATTATAATTATGTCGCCTAAACGGTAATCACTCGAAACAGTTTTGGTCAGTATCTCTAGTTTGAAGTTCTCCTGGCTGGTTCCATCGAGACCAGCGCGATCGACGACTTCGTTTCTCGCTTTCGTCAAAGGCTAGAAACAAATCAAAAGATTTTACTGTAACTTTGTATACTTCGACGACCTCTTTGAAAAAGTATAATATTACAGAATCGGAAACTAAATGCTTTTCGAGTTAGTCCTACCCAATGATTTCTTGAAAAGCCTCTTTAAGAATTTTATCAATTTATAAAACGGTTAAGTAGCTTGGTGACTCGGCGAGAGTTCAAAGATGGCCGTCGATCCGTGCTCTCCTCGAGGAAACGCCACGGTTCACCTGAACAACGTCGCGCGACTCGTCGATCCTTCGATCGACCATCGTACGGAGGATCATTTCGCACGGTTTACCAAAAAATGGAGAAGGATAGACTGAAGGAGAGTATGGAGCCAACGGCGGAGTCGACTAGTGCTTAAAATCTTGTCTTCGCCATCCCGTCGAGAGGCTCGACGAACGGTTGAACGACCCAGTGCGAGTGTCTTGCTCGTTCTCTGCTCGATGCCTCGGATTTCCGTTCTTCGAAGCATCCCTTTACTTTCCAGCTTTCGGTCTAGCACGTGGTTCGACAGAATTTCAGGCTTCTCAGCCAATCCATGGCGCTTAAATCCATCGCCATTGCCCGATCGATCGATCTCAACCCTTTCAGCGTTCAAAGTATCAAATTCTACGTTTCTCTTATCTGTTCTAACGATTTTACAGTACAGAAAACATCGCATTAACTCTGACTTTTGGAATCGATAAATTTGATATAAAATGAATCCACGTACAATCAATTTCATTGTATAATAATTCCCGAGTTAATTTCAAACTAAAAAGAACATTTTCTCGCGGTAAATTTTAATCAACGTTGAAAGAGTTAATTTAGCTTAGAGCTTGAAACGATCGACCAGGACCTCATCGCGACTAAAGGTCGATGCTAAGCTACGCTACCAGCGAAACGATATTATCTAGAATTTCATTACTTATTGTCCTCGTTAAAGCAATTCGATACTCTCTCACGCACCGGTAAACGCGTTACCAGGCTGAAAGTTGTTCGGTGAACGGATGCAATCGCGCAAAATCTTCACCGAAACTTCGACTACGGCGCTGTCTAAACTTTGTCGAACTTTGTAACGCCAAATCTACCTAAAATATACCTAGAGGGTCCCTGGCTAATGGCCAAATAGCGAGTCGACGCTACGCCCCCGCAAAGCGACGAAAGTCGAAATGAGGGTTGCCGGAGACCTCGAGTCGGAAGGAGGCGAAAGTTGTTACCATCTCTGACCGATTTACCCTCAAACTGTTTCTTTCAGAGTCTCGAAGCTTTGGTTTTTAATAAATAATAATATTAGAAGTATGCAAAAGTTTTAAACGTTCAGGTATAATTACTTTTAATCGATAGAACTTTCTGTTTTCCCCTAGTTCTTCCCTTAACTTCACACTTTTACCCCTTTCTTCAAATTGCCAGAACTTTTTCTTAAAGGGACTTTCTTCGGTAATCTGTAACTTATACATATTTCATTGTTGTCGTTTAAACAAAATATCATGTATATTCAAAACATTGGCAAATATATGCACAGAATTCCAATGTAAGGCAGCCTACCTAACCTAACCTTATTTGGGATTTATTTGGCTTCCATGTCGGTCGAACACATTTCACGTTGTTGAATAAATGTATTATTTGAACGTATCGTTTAAATATTTGTTAGATCTATTAAGTTTGAGCATCTTTGAGAGGTTATGGTTGATGTCCGACTCGAAGCCATCTAAGCTGACAAGGGGAGAGGTCCCAGGTGATCCTCATTTTTTGACCACTTTTCATACCAGTAGTAGCTGTTAACTGATCGAAGAGCGAGGGTCACGCTCTGAAATCTCCCCTCGCGTTTGACTAGTTTCAACGAAAGGAAGAAGATGATTCAAAATATTATCTGCGCGCGGTCCGAGCCCCAAGACACCATTAATACTTGACTTACAAAATCCGTAAATTCGACAAGTTTCAGATTTCATATTTAAAGTTACGAAACACGTAAACATTATTTATTAGCAATTCACGGTGGAATGCTATCGGTGTATTGATACATATGTTCTAATTAAAAGAAACATTGTATTTTAACGTAACCGTCAAGAAGGATTTCGATAGAAAATTTGTATTAATCGATGCCGGTGAATCTAGTATCGAGGGGTCTCAAAGAATATCCGGGCCCGTAGCAAACAGGAACAAAAGCAAAATGGCCAAGTGTTCTAGGGTATTCTAGAATTCTAGGAATTTCTACGAATTCTATGGGCATTCCCCTAGAACCTCGGTCCTCCCGACAGGGGGAGTCCCGACGGAGCAAGAGGTCCGAGAAGTCACCGAAAATCGTCGATCCCCTCGCGGTAGAAGAAACCGGGATAATCTTGTCCGAGTGATCGAGCAGCGAACGATCAATTAGAGCGGAGTTCGCCGCTCGAGCGGCGTATTCTTGCAGAATGGCAGTTCTGCGCGTTACATGGAGGCGGTGGTCGCCGCGGGGGCGTCCCGTTCAGGAGGACGCCAACCGGAGCCTGAATCCACGACGACCAGTTAGTATGACCGACCACGGTGATCGTCACACGGTGGTCACGCGGTCTACCTCGACGTATCGCACAGAACTGTCGCTGTGTCAACAGATCACTTCCTTCCCGTCGATGATCGCCGTCACCGAGGAGATGCTCTTCAGCCTGTGCTGGGATATCGAACGGTTTGCCCGCTGCCTGCAGATCCGCCAGATCACGAACACTATCACACCTAGGATCGTGACTATGGCGAGGATTCCGAGACCGAGATGAAGCGGGGGCAGCTGGAGGAGCACGGAGCAGTGCGTCAGAGCCTCGTCGTAGCCCGACGGGCAGTGGGAGATGCCGTCGCACCACAGAGACGCGTTTATGCAGGCGTCGAGCTCCGGACAACGCTGCTCGCAGTCCCGAGACATTTGCAGACCGGCCGTCGACGTCACCGAGGGCCTGCAAACGCAATTTATAGTCAGATTTTCTCATTTTTAACGGCACCAACTCTAGGGCAAGTGACCCAATTATCGTGACCGTCTCTATACAGACAATTGATTTTATAAATGTTTCCTAATATCGTTTTGGAGCCTTTTAAATACCTTCTAGTGAGCTCGAGCCACGTGACCGTGTAGTAGTCGTCCGGTTCCTTGACAATGAACTCCACAGCGATGGTCCTGAGGGGGTCCTGACCCGGCGCCAGGATCATGGCGTTGCTGCTGACGGCCCAGCCGTCGCTGAACACCTCCACCACGTGGTGCCTCGACTCCGACGGCGGTTTCGGGCACACAGAAACGTGGATTGCGCCTCCGGTGTGCACCACGATCCGATTCTTTGTCGTGCATTTGCTCGTGTTCGACATTATCGTGCCGTGCGTCTTCACGTAGAGGTACTGGTTAGGACCCGGGTCGATCAGCCACGGGTGTTTCTCACAGTTTTTCTGAAAATAGATTGAGTTCCTAAAATTCCAATACAATACAATCCTTAGGTCTGAATATAAAATATATCAAAGTTTTTAATGTTAATCCTATTGCAGGCGATAATTCCCTTCTTAATTTACTATGCAATTAGTACAGTGAGTATGGGAAATCGACAAAGGTCGTAAGAGAGTAGAAAAGGAAATGAGAGGGGAGCATTTTGTCCAGGGCCTGGTTACAGTGGAAAGTCGGTGAGGAGTATATGTATATACACATGTATAGTAACGAAGAGATCGGTCGAGCACTTGCGAGAGCGCGACCCCTCTGGTGGCGAGTATGGGAGGTAACGCCACAGGTATAATAACATTTACTGCTACCCAAAATTATAAAGATGTGCTGTTATTATAGGACTAATCGGTAAATTATAGTTTTTCGTGTGCACTATGGCATTTGGTGTTATCAAAATAGTGCCTCTACCTCGTCCTCGTCCATGTTGAACGACTTATACTTGATTTCCCCCGACGGTCCTCTCACTCTGCGTTTCTGCAGACAGGGAGTGCTCTTGACGAAGTCCCAGCTGCCCTCGAAGAACAGGTTATTGTAGTCGTCGAGGGCGTCCATGGTCTGCACCGTGAAGTGGACCTCGACGATGTTCGACGTCGATTTAACGTTCATTGGCAGGGAACGGTTCGAACAGAAACAGTCGCGTTGAACCGGAGGAGCGTTCGGCCACGGTTGGTCCAACACCTATGGATGCGATGGATGAGTGTACCTGATCAATTTTAGCCTATAATATCCTAACCTAATTTAAGGATTTACAAATGTATTTTCAATTTTCATTCGTTAATCGCCGATAAAGTTTGACGATATTTATATTTATATTATACATACATCCGAAAATTACCGATTTAACCATCGAAAACGTGCATGCGTATAAATAATAATATTTATTTATCAATCGATATTTGTTCGCTTCAATAGTCGAATTTAAATGTTTATTAAAACACATAAACAAGTAGGAGTATTACCAATTTGTTATTAATGTTATCGTGAATGTATAAAATTAAGCGATTGCATGCAATAATCGATGAATTTACACATCTCGCCAATTAGCCGAAGTATGTTCGAAATATTCGTTGTTTTCGAAATTTTGTTTATTTTCATTGGCGATTATATCGAATCTCCAATTATATTTGGCGAAGGTATGTCTTTGTATAAAGCGTGTTTCGTAACAAAAGGCTCGGCTGCAAGGGAATCGACAGAATTTTATGGCTCTCAAATTTATCGAATTGTTTTCACAAAATCTGTTAATGGATATATTTTTCTACCGAATATATTCCACCGAATATCATGTATCTATACATTCATGATTCTTAAGGGATTGTGTACAACCATCGGTGTATATTCCGTAATTTGAATATTATTCGCACACCTACCGGCTAATTTAGCAACTGTGTACATTCACCGACGATTGTACATAGTTACGAATTGTGTACCATTCACAGCAACGTTACCACGGCCAGTACCAACTCACGCATGCTCAAATACCACAAAATACCTTATTGTACAATGGACCAAATACGATTTTTTGAAAGACTCTAAAGCTAAAACGATTTTATTATTTGGAGGAATTTGTTTCCATGTTTCGTACAACACCCAACGAACAAAAGTAGAAAAGCTAAGATTTTTCGAAAAACGCTGCCATCAAATTTGCTTTACTATTTCTAAATATCTACGATAAAGGATCGATCCCCATGTACAGGATATTTCAGATCCGAATGTGGAACCGAAAAGTCCTGTACCATTTTACAATCCGATACTCCGTTCTCGAGATACGAGCGGTTAAAGTTTACCGATATAATTCTCGGTAGACGCCATTTTTATCTTACAATTACTCGGACGATCGCGTGGCGCCCCCTACGCAATTTTATTCCTGAGAAATTCGTATTAAAAATTCCCTAACTTCCTACGAAACAAAATTCCCTAACCCAGACCTAACCTCTTAAATTATTTACAGGAACCGGTTCGCGTACCTTCACAGAGAAGTTGTCAGAGCCCACGCAGATCAGTCGATGGAAGTCCTGGCTGGAAACGCTGCGGCAGCTTCGGTTCCCGTTGAGCAGCTTGTTGAACCTCAGCTTGACGATCTCATCGTGCTCGCCTTCGAATCGGTACATGCAGCTGGAAAATCCGTTCTGGGCTGCACTTTCAGGACTTAATCGAATCTACATGGCTGGCCGGTCGCGCAAAGGAATCGCACCGCCGATCGATACCCGCACCGAGGATATTACGCAAGGCGCATCGAACGACCGCCGGTTCGTTAATCAGCGACCAGCCAAAGCGATTTCGATGTCAGACCATCAGGGAAATCGGTTCGTCTGGTCTCGCCTCGCTTTGCCACTTCGCCTAACGCGTCTCTACGACACCGGATTATGGTGCCTCCTAAGCGGACGGCGTGGTGTCCATCCCCGTTTCCCGTTTACCCCGAACCATTTCCAATTAACACTAATCCTACAGGACACGATGCTTTTATTCCAACATGGCCGCCGTATCAGCTCTTTTTCAGGCTTTAACGGTCCAATTTACGCGTTAAATATGCCGTCTATCGGACACTGCAGAGCTCGGTTACTTTAAAGCGACCATTCGCGACGCATCTCGGACAATCGGGGGATTTTGGCAACGATTTTTGCTCGACAACATGACTTTATATTATTTACTACGTAATAATTGATTCGAGGCGATGAAAAAAAATACACGTGGAATATTTTTACGATAAAAGTATTATTTCCTGTGGATTAAAATTTTTAATGAAAATGTAAACGATGCACCCTGTATATAAAATATACAATTCCGTCTACAGCGGTTCATTTTTGTCTGTTGGAGCTTGGAAGGGGGAGATGAGGGGGGGCGATTGTGGAATAGAGAGAAAGTTAAAAAAAAAAGAAAAGAAAAAATGCGCACTTTCGCGACGACGTACACACAAAGAGACTGTTTACGGGGCGTTATCGCTTTGCAGGTTGAACAAAGGGACGCGTTGCTGACGCGCGTCTCATTCGAAATCGCGAAATCGCTCGCGCATAAATGGACACCGTTGAAGCCCCGGCAGATAGGGCGCGGTAAGAGAAAGAGTTTGTCCCCGTTAGGTCGGTCTTTATTTTCTTAGAGGCCTCGCCGTTTCAAGCGGACGCGATTTCTGAATCGCTTCGATCCACCCTGTCGACCTCCATCGAGTCGTTTTTCGGTCGATGAAATTTTTTTTTTCCTCCTGTTATTTCTATCGATCTTATTTCTTTGCCATAAAAATATTTTTCTTTCGTGGCGTCGATTGTACGAACTGACGAATGGATTATGTTTTTATAAACGTAACAGAACAAACGTAATAAAATAATGATTTTGAAAATTCTAAAGTACAACCCATCGAACGGTTGAAAGTTACAGTGACAATGGACGGTGTTCGAGTCCACTGGAAAACGTTTGGTTGACGAGCTTTCGGTCGATCGTAAAGTGCGAACAGCAGCGTGTAAACAACCCTATTGTCGGTGGCCGATAAGAGTACGGTCGGAAGGGAGGTTTCTCTCTCACCTTATATTTTTCGCTCCGCCGCGGCCGTAAAGGAAAATTTCGCGCGGCGCCTGGAACCTACGATCGGGATAATGATCCCTGTTGCGGCTATAGAAGATCCTCGAACAGGGTCCGCTTCCGTATGGATCCCCGTCCTGATGGAGATCGACGAACTCGTACAGGGCGCGGAAATTCACCGGCCTGCGGGACAGAGACAAATTCCACGGTCATCGTTCAGTGTCATTCCGCAACTCGTTAGCCTGTCCGGCGCGAAGAACGAGTTATTTCGCTGCCCCAAATACGTCTAGATTGTTGCCACGGTTCCTCGTCCATTAAACTTTGGCAATATTCAATATTACAATTATTCAACAGGCGATTACCTATTCCGCTTTTGTAATTTTTTAACAGAAAACCGTATAATATTTTGCATTGAGATTTTGTACATATATTTACCAACGTTCGGAGCATATACGGTATTTCTTACAAGTAAAAACAACGAAAATTGTACGAGCTATAGATGACAGAATAAAGTTCTTCCGAGGGTGTGTATCTTCGGTTTGGACTCGTAATTTTTAAGCCTACTTATATATAATAAATTTGTCGCAATTGATTCGATCGAGGCAGCGTCCGTTTTATTAATTCCTACCGCGCAAGGGACGATCAAGAAATTATCCGTTGAAAGGGGTTGATAAAGGCAGAGAGGGACAGGGTTGTTTCAAGTGGAAGAAGGATTAACTAGACCGTGCGACGCATCCGCGGTTCCGTGTGCTCTCGTGTCGGATATCACGCTTGAACACGCGCCCCGGTCTCGGGCCTCCGTGAAAAATAAAATGTAAATAACCCCTTTGCTGCCCCTTAGCGCGACCGGGTTGAAGGAACGTCGACAACCCGCTCGGATAATTACGGAAATATCGAACGGGGGGAGGGGAAGCTCGCCAACGCTGCTGGATAAATCCTTATGGAACGGTGATCAACTATTCTAGGCGTTTTAATTTTAGTTAGACCCTAGAAGATTTAATTTACAATTTAATTTCTATAACAATAATTTTTTATAAACTCTGTCAGTCATGAAAGTTAACGAGATTTTTCAATATCATCGCTAGCTGTTTCTAAAAACAAGAGTTTTACAACTATAACAGTAATCAGAAGGTTAAAACTAGTCGGGATGAGCCATGGACTCCTATTGTTTGTTCCAGCTTAGTTGTGTGAACCACCCGTCCCACGTTTAGGTTCGCGTAAATGGAGTTCTAGGGTAACCGATATCAGGAGGCAGAGGAAACGGAAGAAAAGGCGCGCGAGTACGGCAGATATTGCACCGCGACGCCAGTAAAACCTTTGGCATTCTAGCGTCGTGTTTCTGTATCGATTCCACGGGGCCGCTGTCACGAGGAAATTTCGTTGGAATTTATATTCAAAGGAACTTTCAGCCCCGGGACAGGCTGGGGAATACCCCGGGTCTCGGTGGTACCATTTACACCCAGCCACGTCAAACACCCGCCACGTTTCTACCCACTCTCCACACTCTTATTTCAGACATTATTATTAATCGTGACCTAGTAATTTCATAATTTAGTTCATCTTTCAGATTATTCGGTAATGCATACTTCTAATTTTCTAATCCTCTTCGCCCTTCAGCCAACCCTAAAACAAAACAGACATCCTCTTAAAGGGACTTTCTTTAATAATCTACAGCTCGTACAATTTTCGTTATTTTCGCTTGAAAAAAATACCGTATATACTCAAATATCGCTTAATATACTTGCAAAATCCCAATACAAAGCAAGCTACGGTTCTCTTTCTAAAAAATAACAAAAATTGCAGGTCGAAGCCAGAATACCCCCTTTCTTTCTACATATAAATCCAGAATCTATAGAAAAGCGATTGGACCATAAATAATTAAACTTCCTGGCTAGTTCCTAATCTCTACAAAATGTACATGGTTTCCGGAAAGGGTTGATTTCCAAGCAATTGCTAGAAACGTTTCCTCTATTTGTCTTTAACGCGTCCGTTTCCACCTTGACTATCTCCGCGCAAACTCGGGTCTGGGATCGAGGTACACCTAATCACCGGCGTCCACACAAAGTAGGAACTGCTAGGACGATACTGGATTCTCCATGCATCCGCACTGGTTGCCACGAACCCATTCTAAACGTCTGCTGCCTCTGCATGGTTAGGTAGTGCCAGAGTTGATTAACCGCAGCTCGCTCGACGAGCTGAAACTCTATCCCGTGATATGGGGCAACCAACTGCCACCACGATACTCAAACCTCGTCTACTCCAGGGACCACGCATCCCCTGTGGGGCTAGGGAAATACTGGGGGATTCCTGAACCTGTCCACACACGGTGGTGTCAAACTCAAACGCCTACGCGCAACCACCAAATACAGTTTAGCAATTTCGGAATAACTCTCGGCTTTCGATCGCTTGAAAACTGAAGATACAAGATATTTCAGATTTTTTTTGTCGGACATAAAGGTCGAGGTCAATTGAAAATTTTGTTTCGCGTCGAACAGAATAATTCGTATCCGAACAGGAGGATTAATTCGAACGAGAAAACCAATGCTCGAGGATGGACCGTGCTCGGGTCACCCGTATGACGTAGCGTTAACGAAACACAGAAACTCCGCTCGAAACAATACACAATTTATTTGCGTACCGTTGCGTTGGTGCATGGGCGAGATTTACGACCCGGCGAAATTCGTAAAGAATCGCGATAAATGGGTCGATGCATCGATTACGTGAACCATGCTGTCAACAATGCGATGCAGCGTGCGCGAAAAACATAGTAATTCTTCGTTCCTTCCCGATTTCTCTGTTTTACTTTCGGACAGAAACGAACGTAAAGTTCGCAAAAAATTCCTCTGCTCGATTCGTGGCGGAACGAAATGATTTATTACTGTACGACCGTCGGAGGAACGAATTAACACATTTCTAATTTTTACCGCCATATTGGACAGAGTTCAAGGTGAATCCTCAAGAGGGACAATGCACGTTTCATCATGTAAACCAAGGGTAAAATGGCACGAGTAAAATGGCGCGAGAAGCGAGTTCGAGAGGGTCTGTGATCGAAACGGAAACCAGTTTTCTCTTCCTAGCGACCGAGTTTCACTCGCCTGAGAGCCGTGGACTCGATCATTCGCATCTCGATGGTCAGACTGTTCCCGCTGGAAACGAAGCTCTCCACCAGGGAACAGGGACGGCTGGTGTTCTGCAGGATCGCGTGGTCGCAGGTCCTCGGAACCTTGTCCTTACAATAGCGTGCCAGGAGGGTGGTGTTTCCAGAAGGTCGAGCGATCAATGGCCGCGAGGTCTCGATCACCCTCTTCCCGTGTTGTTGGTGCTCCTTCTCGCTGTTACAGAAATAAATTTGTCACGCATCGTCCCTTCAAAATTAAAAAACGAAATATTCCTAACCAGAATTCCTAACCTAAATACCTAACCAGAGTGATATTTCCAAAATTATTATAAACTGGGGACAAATTATTCTTTGAGACAGAAACTAAGGGAATATGAATCTTCGAAGTCTCGAGTTGTCTATTTAAGAAACGACAATGGGGAAACTCGAGGGGGGCGTCTGTTGGGTAGGAATTAATCAAAGTGGGTTAGGTTAGGATTAAAGGGGGTTAGGTTACGGACCAGGCCTGGTCGTTGCATTCGGCCAGCGGCATCATTTCGCCGTCCCACACCATCAGGGTCGTTGAGCAGTCCTCGTTGGTGCTGGACAAGCTGGTGCCTACGTGGAACTTGAGGATGGAGAGCCAAACGCGAAACTGCGGCTGCGCAGGTTTCGCCGCTGGCCTCCTCCACACGGTCCCCGGCCTCTGTTCAGGGAATTTCGGTAGAGGTCGCGGTGGCGTCGGACTGGGCATCGTGGGGCCCGCGCCACGAAGATGGTACAGGCAGGTGCTGTTTCGGGGCAGCGTGTGACTGGGCGAAGAGAGCACTCCACCCCCACTGCCCTGCAGCCAGAACTCGCAGTGCTTGTTTTTCGTGTACGTCGGCGAGTCCACGTCGACGAACCTCACCTGGAATCCAATCATTTTCTTCTTTCGTGACCGACAGGAAATTATTGGCGAAGCTAGGAGAGGGAAAAGAGAGGCATAAAAGGTACGCCAAAGAAGTCCAGGTTAGAAACGACTCTGGCGGAAAATGAAGACCACGCACCCGTTTGTTTGTCCAGACGGCAGGGGAGGTGAGCCCCTACGTGGCGCATCCCCAGGTGGCGAATAGGGGCAGCTGCTGGGATGGGATGCGGGGATGAGGTCATCAGCCTAAGAAGGCTGGTGGCCGCGTCCTCGCATGACATCCCGGAGGTCGGAGCGAAAGCTCCCGCGGACCAAACACCGGTATGAATGTGCTGTGTGTGTGAATGTGTGTGTGAGTGGACTGAGGCATGGGATACTTGTCGCGGGTTTTACCCAAGCCCGCAAGTTGGTCAGTTGGTTGCGACCAACGTGGCCTCGCGGCCAGCGGCGTGGCCCTATGTCACGGGGCCGCGGGCGCTGGTGACCAGGCGCTTGCGGTTGAGTGGGAATGCGGTGGGAGGTGTGCCTCTCACCGGGAGGGCCTGAAAAGGCACGGCGCGGCAGGGGACTCTGTGATGTTTCACTAGAGTTTCCGGCCCCTCGCGAGGCGTCTGAGGATGGTCACCGTGGGGTTTTAGCCGGTAAGAGTCCGGCACTACCCGCCAGCCCTCCCTTCGGGTGGGCCCGCGGGTGTCCATGAGAATTTTCCCACGTACAAAAAAAAAAAAAAAAAATGGCGGGAAATGAAGAAAGGAACGCTACGAGAAAAACGGTAACCACATCGTGTAAGAATCGGTCGGTAAGATAGGAAAGGGAGAGAATAAAGAAGAGCCAAAGAAAGGAAGACTAGTAAACAGCTGAGAAGTTTAGTATAAAGGACAATGTTAAGTCATAGAGGGGTTTACTGACCCAAGAGCGTACAGCATATGCTATACACCGTTGGAAAGGTCTCGCCAAGACGAATCGACTGATACGGTTAGTATTCAGTATTCACATCATTATGTTTCGTTCAATCAATAAAATGTCACTCCATTCACTATTGTAAGTGACGCATTAGTCTGAATACTAACCTGCACATTCCCAACTTATACCTGCGAATTGTCTACCATGAATATATTATGTTCATGAAAAACAACTGAAGGTGGTGGGGCACATTTGCCGTCCCAATCTGCTAGAGTATCGCTTACACCCCTCGGTTTTTCCTCAGGTGCCTACTCGAGGTCCCTCGGGCCGGATGGGCTTTTACTACCGGTTTCTTTTGCTCAAAACCGCAAAATCTCGAACTTTGAGGCCATTTTTCGACATTATCCCATCTGATATCGAAGTTAAAAATGGTATCAGTCGATTCGCCTTGGCGAGACCTTTCCAACGGTGTATAGCATATGCTGTACGCTCTTGGGTCAGTAAACCCCTCTATGACTTAACATTGTCCTTTATCAATAACGGTATATAGGTTATGTAATAAAGAATTTCATTTTTATACAAATAAATTGCGTTTAATGGAAACACGCAACCACTCGTAACTATTTCCACTGTCTGTCCACTTACTTTTGTCCCCGACTGTAATTCGCGCGAGCGACCAGGAAACATTAATAGAATCGAAAGAAGACAGCGAGAGAATAGACGTCGGGACAACTCTCCTCTGTGACGGCCAGAGAATGAAGTTGAACACCGTGATTGCGAAATTTCTCGTACGAAGAGAAATTTTCGCCGCGGAGCTGTTACGGTTACCGGGGCGAGTTCGTGCTGAAAAATGGCAGCAGGACTCGGGCTATCCATTTAAATGCGATCCATGAACAGGCCGTACTTTACCCTGAAAGGCGTAAAGCATGCTGTTCCGGCTCTCTTTCTCCCTCTGAATGTTTGAAGAGAATTACCACGTACTTGCACTTCTAATTGAAAGCCGTGGAGAGAGTGCGGAGGCGTGGGGTGCAGAAACGTGCCGTAAGGAGACGTAGTAAACTCGACGAGGATCTCCATTCCGCTGCTGGTGGCCTCCGGCACCGGTTCTCCGCCCCCGCAGAATTTCAGTATCACCGGATCCCTGGTCGTGTATCCGTCGTACACCGTCACGTAATCCTGCGGGAAATGCAAAATCCTCTTTCTAATTTTCACGCCGCGCGAAACGAAACAGAAACTATCGGTAAATTGTAAATCGTTCGATACTAAATTTAAAGTAGAGTGCCGCATGAAGTGAAGCTCTATCGATCGCTAGCCGGTTAATCGGCTCACAGACGAGATATACAAGTGTCACTCGCAACATTACCAACAGGTTACAAAAATGAATAAGAAGAAATGAGACAGAGAATGAAATTTCAGAATTTCTAACTTCATGTTATATTTTCGGAAAAGAATTTTTTTCTCGCAAGTGCGTAGGATTTCGGGGGTATGTCTATTCACCAAAAATGATTGTAATTGACCCCCGCAACAGAAAACAATTTTTCCAGAATGATTTGAAATTTTTTAATTTCGTCGAAAAATTGGTTCACCTACCTTCCTGTCGATTTTTCTTAAAAATTTGTTTTCCATTTTTATTTATTTTAACAATTACAAATCACGATGTAATAATAATGTTTTGAAAGAAGTTTTAAGGTTATTTTAGTCTTAAACGGTAGATAAAGTGTTTCAACTTCCAACCCACCGCCATATTGAAAAAATGGCGGACGTTACGAGGCTGGGTATTTCCGATTTGCAGCCGCTAGCAAATTTCCCCGTGACTCCGCAAACACCCCCGGTACATTCTCCACATTATCCACGTTAACTAACGTTGAGGAGGGGGTTCCCATAGTCAGCCAATAAATCGCCCTTATCAAGCTAGCCCACTCGGCGCAGGGGCTTCATCCCCCGATTCGAATTTAGTTGCGGTGCGTGCGGATCGGGAAATTTGCGAGTCGCGGGAGGATTCGATGATTTAAGAAGCGCCCGGGCGGGGCTGGCCCGAAATTACCATGCAAAGTATTAACGGGCGTGCCCTGTTTTATCGGTAGGACGGTCACGTTCGGCCGTTTCCGCGGCTGTCTCCAATTTATACCGGTTAATCCAATTTTCACGTCGACTTTTTACGTACCTGAACCACGTCGCAGTCCTTCCACAGCCGGAGCTCGCGAGGGGAGGATTCCACTTGGGTGGCTGGCCGTACCCTTATGGCCACCAATTGCCCCCGGGGCTGTTTCACCGAAATTAAGGCGTGTTTTCCCGCCGGTACGTCGTGCTGCCTCACCTGCGTCTCACACACACCCACACAGCGATTAAAATGGAACGATGCCGCGTTTTACACCTATGGAATTGCATTTAGAATTCCACCCTCTTCTTTCTTTGGCTCGATCGATAATACGATGGGGCTGTTGTCCCCCTTAGATTCTAGTTTAACTCTTGGACCAGTGCATCTCAACTTTCATTACATTGTCACGTACTTAGAGGGGAGGTTAGAGAGAACACTTAATTATCGTGTTAATATCCGTATCGTTTCACGTTTAATTTACATGTTGTAAATAGAGTCTTTTCATTAGTTTATTACAAATGTTCTCGTGGCACACCTGTTGGGGGAGTATGGCCTTAGGAGACCGCGTGGGGTTCACCAGGGACCTCAACCTCGTTACTTTGTAAAAAACTCATTGCCTTAATTGAATCAACACTTGCCACTCTAATTAATACTAGCTTTTTAATATCCTTAATTCTCTGTCATAGCCACATGCTATTTCTATGTTCTGGTCTCGGTTTGCACGGTGTTTTACATATATGGGGGACGTATAACTACGAATTATATTTTTCGATAATAACTCTGGAATAATTCATTGGGGTATAATAAGAGCACCGATTTACGAAGTTGTTCATAAACCTCCGACGCAAATCCCCAAAATGGCGGGAACCGCCCTTTCTTCCGTGGATTATCGCGATATCAATTGCACAACCCTTCCTTGGAGCGCCGGGCGAGTGCAAATCGTTGTTCCCAGTAATGAATATTAACGAAGTTAAAGCGCTCGTCGAAACACAGCCGGTAATCCGAGGAGCGATACATCACCGGTTTCGAAATCGCGACTCCGAGCAAATTGAACGGCCCCGATGTGCAGTCGTATCGAAATGAAGAGGGGTACGGGGGAGGAGGCCCGAAACAACGTCGGCATTCCGACGAAAATTTACGACGCAACGTCGCGATCGCGCGGGGCGTGAACCATTATTCTCCGCTCGGCCTGTAACTCGACTTTCCACTAAATACGCGTCCATGTCGAACCCCGAAAATATCTGCACGTCCCGTTTCCGGCCGAATTGCTAAATACGGGACCAGAAGGTCAGTCTAGGGTACCAAGGGTATGCGCCATTTGTAAACTGCAGCGTACTGGAAAGCCTGTCGATCCTATTGTTCTGTCAGTTTATGGTCTCTTCGAACCGGGGGGCGTCGACATGGACACTTACATTTACTGTGGGGCAGAGAATTAACCGATAGAGCACAAGTGCAAAGAATAAAATAGACTTTATTATAAATTAATGCGTACAACAAGTAGATCGAAAAGTATAACCACGTGCTACTGGAAGAACGATCCTGGGAAGACTGCTGCTCGGCTTGCGAAAGACGTCACGTGATCAACTAGTTTCTTAAGCTGCGTAGAGGTCTCCACTGTGAGGATTTTATATCGATACTCTCGCATTTACTCCACAAGGAATTCTTTTGTATAATATTAACCGAACAAGTAATATCTAATTACAAAAACCGATAGAGAAGAATATTAAACATTATATAAAATAAACAATACAGCGGTCATCCATCCCGAAGTACTGTACTCGACGTTCGGACGAGAACCGGCGTTTCCAACAACTCGTTGACTACTTTCGTCATATGATATAGTAAGTTTTACTTTACCGAATATTTTCTGTTACAAGGCACGCTTTGGAAGTAGAAGATGTATTATTTTTGGTGCCATCGCCCTCTTTTCGTCGCTTCTAAAATAACAAATGGTCGAGAAAAGGACTTTTCAATTTCGCCCGGTGTCGGGAATCCAGCCGGCTTGTCCCGTCATTTCTGGGACACGCTTGTAAAGAGAAACGCGAGTACTCGTGAAATTTCAAGACGCGACTTGTATTCTGATCGCTTCCACGTCATTCCCAAACGTCCACCCCCGTTCCCTGCGACGTCGTTACCCACAACGAACTTCATTCTTCCTCGGGACAGGTACATAAATTGTCAAACAGTCCGGTAAGAAAGAGAATCGTCGCGGAACGCTCGCCGTCGACGATTTATGGTTCTGCGGTGTGTATCCGAGTTCTCGAGCAAAGGGAAACTAATGGCGTCGCGAGGGATGCTCGACCGGACCGGTCGTTTTCCAGAAAACTGACGCGCCAAATCCGCGCTGGGAAAAATTGGAAAATTATGAGAGGCCCGTCGCTGGTCGGAGACAAGCAGCTTCCTTGGAAACCGTTCTCTCCTTTTACCGTGACCCAAAGTAATCTTTTCACCCTATTAATAATACATTCCTTTTTTTTATTACAATTTCAAGTATGTAATATTTCTTGTTTCGTTCGTTCTAGTCTTTTTGAAACAATTTAATACAAAGTATGAGGTATACATATAATCAACGTCCATAACAATTTTTACGAAAATAAACATAGGTCCGCTTAATATTTATTCACGGAAACTCAACAAAAATTCGATAACTAATATTCGATAACCTTTGTTGTTTTCAATAACTTGGAATATTCTTTTAGGTATCTACTAATACGTCTAACTCCGATGTGCTTTAATTTCTGGTGCAAACGTAACCTCAAAATTGAAATCTTTCCATTCACCTCGAAAAATTGTGTTTAAATTCGCAACGAGCCGAGCGTTAGTTCCGTTCCGACGTTCCGTGCGTTCACGATGCGTCAGGCTGGCAAGTTTTCGGGCGGGAAACTCCCTAGGGACTTACCGCGTAGTAGCAGGTGAGATTGCGCGGATACAATCCGGGGAAGTTGGGCGACTGGAGTCTGCACTTCCTCCGGTCGCAGTCGCTGAATATTCGGGAACAGTAGGTCCCGGATATCAGGTCACCGAGGTACTGTTCGCTGCTCGGCTTCCCAGGAGGAGTCGCCGGCTGCTCCACCATTTGCGCGGGCATCGCTATCGAGCTGTTCGCGTAGTCGCTCGACGACGACAGCGTCGTTGTTGCCTCGGTGGACGCCGGCGTCGCCGTCGCTTGCGTTACACCTGGAGTCAAAATTTTAACCTTTGTTCAATTTTCGAGGAAGACATCTTTTTACTATTTTAACCAATTTTATTCTTTGCTGTAAACTGCGTTCAATTTTAACCTAACCTAACCTAACCACAACTTGGCTTTTTGCTGGCTTTATCGGAGCTAGAGTAACGTTTATATATCGTTGCTACTGAATATTATATTTTCTAATTACTTTGTTGCTAGCTAGAATTTAGATTGGATTCCAAAGATTAGTATTTTTATTATTTTTTTATATTATGTAACATTATTATTTTTTATTTTTATAACATTCACCGAGTAAACAATGCCTAATTACGAAATCGATAGAAAGATAACATATAAACACGGTATAATAACAATTGTCTAAACCGGTCACCCATACACCAGTTTGGTCGCGTCGACCGCCGCTGCACTTGGTGGATCGGACGGAGAATCGGCCTCGTTCTATGCTGTACGAGTGTCCACGATTATATGTATATTAGTAACGCGAGTATACATATAACCAAGGACCGAAAAAGCTCTGATGAGAATCTGAGGAATCGAGTACGCACCGACGACAGAATTCCCGTAGCGCACCACGGCGTCCTCCTTTCTGATCATTTTGTACGCCATCCTGAAGTCGAAATTGAATCCCCTCTGACCCTTGCTGAGTCTGAGGAGCTTCAGCGATATGGAGACGTTGGTCGTCTCGCTGTAATAAATCGCGGGGCTCATGGACGTCCCGCACCAGAGGCCGCCGACGTCCGGCCGTTCGGCCTCCGAAATTTGCAGCGAACCGTCCGGGCAGCCCTTCTCCGTGAAGGACACGAATTTCCCCAGGGTGAAGCTGTCGAACGTCAACTGAAATCAGGAGAACGTGGACGTCGCTCGGCTGCTAGAAATCAACCGCCATAACGGATCATCTTGCAATGTTTACTCTTTTCACTCATTGGAATTAAGTTATATAGGGTGTTCACAAAATCGCTATCACTAATTAGTGATTGTTTCGAAAAGTGTTATAATTAGACAAAAATGAAAGAGGAAAAAGTTTTACAGTTTTTTATGATCAGTAGGACAGCGTATATTAATTTTGCATATTTGCATTATTTTTCGAGAAACGAAAACCTTCAGTTTTTGAAACGGAATTTTTTCAAATATTATTTATAACGTGAAAAAATATGTGGCATTCCATTTAAAAAATCGAGGATCACTCTTCGAAAAATTATGCAAAATTGATATACAGTCCCTATTGGCTATAAGAAATTGTAAAATTTGAATTCTAATTAATTCTCTCTATACAGGGTGTTTGGTCACCCCTGGGAAAAATTTTAAGGGGGGATTCTAGAAGCCAAAATAAGACGAAAATCAAGAATACCAATTTGTTGATGGAGCCTTCATTAAAACGTTATTAACAATTAAATTCAAAAATTACAAATCGTTCTGGAAAAATTATTTTCGGTTACGAGGGTCAATTATAATCATTTTTGGTAAATAGACATACACCCGAGATCCTACGCACTTTCTAGAAAAAAATTCGAAAATGTGTGAAATTTTTCGACGGGAAAAAAAATTTCAAATCGTTTTGGAAAAATTATTTTCGGTTGTGGGGTCCAATTACAATCATTTTTGGTGAATAGACATACCCCCGAAATCTTACGCATTTTCGAGAAAAAAATTCAGTACGGGCGGAACTTTAAACGTTAATAACTTTTTAACGAAGCCTCCATCAGCAAATTGGTATTCTTAATTTTCGTTTTATTTTGGTCCCTAGAATCACCTATTAAAATTTTTCCCAAGGGTGATGAACACCCTGTATATCTGTATAGTGTTAAGATTCGTAATTTTTACTCGAGGTAGCGTTATTGTAAAAATTTGCAACTATTTTCATAAAAATTCCGCGAGCGAAAAAGTTTCCTTTTCCTTTCACCAACCCCGGTACGAGAGCCCGAGGATCCCTAACTGACCCAAACCCGGGAAATATGAAAGTCCAAAAAGAGGGGAGGGGGAAAAAGTCGCCGCAACGTGTTAAACACCGGGACGTTCTCGTCTAATTCCTCGAAATGTGGCTCCTTTGATAGAAACGGCAAACAGGGGGGTGGCTAGTAGCTGTTGCAACGTATAAATAATTTGGCAACGGACGGGGAAGTTTCATTCGCGGCGAAACTTTTCGGCCAACGGGCTCGGACTCGCGTTGAGTCTAGCAATTTGCGTTATTAAAAATTCCACCGTTGATTCTTCCTCGTCCGACCGTCCCTTGCCCCCCCCCCTTCCCCCAGGAAACAATTTTTTTCTTCCCCTTTTCTCGCTGACCCTTTTCGTCAGAGTTCGATTTCCTTGCGTTTGGTATCGCTGGTCGAAAATATTTTAATTATTATATGAAATGTTATACGATTAAAGTTTGTTTTCTAATCTTTGTAACTGTTTAAACAGACATTATAACCGATTTCAACTCGTTCGAGGAATATACAGGGTGTTCAGCCACCTCTGTGAAAAATTTTAATGGAAGATTCTAGAGACAAAAATAAAAATACCAATTTGTTGATTGAAGTTCCGTTAAAAAGTTATTAATTTTTAAAGATCCGCCTGTAGAACGGTAATCTGCGAACAGCTGCGTACGCATGATAACGGTTCTCACTCACAAAACTGTAAGGCTATCGATACGCCAGTAAGTAAAGTTTCTCATGCTGAGTGAGAACCACTATCGCATGCACGTAGCTGTTCGCAGATCGCCGTTCTACAGGCGCAATTTTAAACGTTAATAACTTTTTGATGAATCCTCAATCAACAAATTGATACTCTTGATTTTCGTTTTATTTTGACTTCTAGAATCTCCCATTAAAATTTTTCCCAGAGGTAGTCGAACACTCTGTATGCGCTCAGGACCGGCCGCGGACACTTAAGTGGCCATGGTTACTTCGCAGAATTCAACTGAGATAAGAAAAGAGGATAAGTGCGAGTGAGATACAATAGCTGGCACCCGAAACCATATACATACCTACATATGTACAATATATCGACAACGACCGGCGTCAAGTTACGCTCGACACGGTCGCTGTTCGAAGCCGCTTGGCTTCCAAGAATTGTAGTTGAGAGGCAGTAGAAATCTGTCAATTTATCATAGAGGAGAGAAAGCTAGGACGAGCTATAGAGAAATGGAATATAAAATGTTGATTCCTGGCAGACCGACCTGAACGATGTCTCCGAAATCGCCACCCGGTGCGCTGAAGGTGAGCTTGCAGAAGTAAGGCACCTTGTCTTCCTTGGGTCGATGAAGCTCCAGATTGTAGGTTTTGCCCACGTCGCCGTAGTACGTTTTGTTGCAAGCTGCAACAGCAGAGAAAGAAAAGTCTTTCAGTCTCAGTCTCCGGAGGGACAGACGGTTCTTTATGAAAGTATCTCGCTCCGGGATAAAAGCATCGGGCGCAAAAAGACAACCACCTTCTATTGCGCTTTTTATCAGCGCCCGAGTTATTAATAACCGATACGTTATTTTTCTTAGTTATGCCATAGACGACGTATACGAGCAGACCTTTCACCCAATGTATTTTTCCGGCTCATTTTTCTGAGGCTCTAGAGCCCCATTACCATATTCGTGTCACTCGCAATATTACCAACAGATTTAGAAATGAATTTTAATCCCTTCCATAGTCAACTCACAAGTATTTACGCAACACTACAGCTGTTTGCCTATCAATACTAATTCAGTGAATAGTTTCTCAACTGACCGCCATCCATGAGAAGAGGACGCTAAAATCAACTCCGAATTTTCAGGTCGGTATGGCAGTCAGATTGAGCCACGAAAGTCCATAAAGTGAAAGGTCTACTCGTATACCTCGTCTATGGTTATGCTTCCGCGTCGGGAAAATAAATAACACGATCCCCTCTGGTCGTGTCGAACGACTTTATCAACTTTTGTATCGATCGATTATAACATTGCAAGTGACATCTATTACTTCTAAGAACACTGTTCATCCGACCTCTATCAAAACAATTTATTTTAATTATTTTTTTGTAAGGCTGGATTTAACGTTACGGAATTCGTAATTATTATTTATTAACAATTTATGATGAATTTATAGTGTTGAGTAATTCGATTAATATTAAATTTAGATAATATTGTATTATTGTTGGCTCTTGGAGAAGGGATCGAGCTGTCGTCCAAATCCGCTGTAATGAGTTTAACGGGAACACTAGCAGGCAGGAAAAAAAAAATGGTTTCTCGATCAAAGTCCGGGTTGGACGAGAGTTTCCGGGCGCGACGGGCGCATTTCGCGGCCGGCATTGTGTTCGGTTCGATTATCGATCGCGTGTTTATCGAGGGTAATCATCGCGTCGCAGATACCGAGGCTTTCGAAAGGCCCGTCGCTAATTCACGGTAAATACCCGTATCGTTTTTGAAACCTGTCCAACTGAGGATGCCGATAGCCCCCCCCCCCCCCTCACCAGGATTGCTGTGTGTACTCGACTCACTCGAAAACACGATTTCGGGTCGACGAAAATTTTACAGCAACCTTCCCTGGCTCGCACACGGGGTGTCCAAGTTCGAACAAACCACCTATATACGCTATTTTAATTTTAAGACTGGATCGTTTCCCATCCTCTGCTTTGGTCTCGAGGGGTCCCGAAAAACTGAGAAATGGAGGTCATTATCTCGATTTCTATTCGTTGTAACGAAAATTTATGCTACTCGAAAAAGTTTCGTAATTCAATTTGCAATAATTTTTGTTATACACGTTATTACCCTAAATTCAATAGTGAATGAGATATCATAGATTTTATGGACTGGTGCTTCTTTTAACATTTACGTCTTGTGAGACAGTAAAGGCCCAGAATTGGTGGATCGGTATCTCGATTACTATTCACCCTAACGAAAATTTCTGTCCCACATAAAAGTTTCGTAATTCAATTTCCAATAATTTTTGTTAACATACTATTACCCCAAATCTAATAGTAAATGAGATATCATAGATTTTATAGATCGGTGCTCTTAAGATTCACGTATTAGAAGAATTTCGTGATTTCGTGTAGTTTGAAGATTCCTAAACGCTAAATCAGCCCCCTGTGAATCGAAGTTGGCCTATCTGTCGCCAATTATAAACTTGTTTTTTTTCTACGAGGCCTATCGGAATCTCCGGTGGTGTTTGAAAGGAAACCGAAACGCACTCGACGATCAAGTTGCTGTGGCTTCGTATCGCATGCTCTCCGTGCAGAATCACATTGTACAGGACGGGTTGATTACAATACCGGTTCATTGTGGGGCTTCAAGGGCTCATCATAGACGTGTAGGATGGAGATCGGGGGCTACGTTGGTGGGCCAACGCACACCGACGGCGGGGTGAATGGATCGGGAACACAATGCCCGCCATTTCCAGCCATCGGGTCTCACTCCTAATCAGAATCCCAGTTTGCCCGACTAATAGCGCGCCTGAAATCTGGCCGCCTTGCCTTCCACTGTGCCCGCAATACGCCGATGTAACTCGATAGTCGAACAATTTTGCTCGTAAATCGATTCCACCAAGGGAATAATCGGTCCCGTTACTCCTTGTCCCTGTCCAACATCAATCCTATTTCACTTTCTAATTAATTAAACAAACTCTCCATTCCTGACCATTCAACGCGACTATCTTCGTCGTCGAATGCTTCATAAAACATTTTTTTATTTACCAATAGCAAAGTTTATATAATAAATAATTTATACAGAGTATAATCGAAAATTGGGTGACTCTATCTAAGTAAACTTTGTATTTAGTATCGGTATTTTCGGTAACGAATTTTTTTCTCGAAAGTCCGTAGGATTTCCGGAGTATATGTATTCACTAAAAATGATTGTAATTGACCCCCACAACCGAAAATAATTTTTTCAGAACGATATGAAATTTTTTTTTTTCGTCGAAAAATTTGAGTACCTACTCGAATTTTGTTCTCGAAACTACGTAGAATTTCGAGGGTATGTCTATTAACGAAAAATGATTGTATCTGACCCTCAGAACTGAAAATAATTTTTCCAGAATGATTTGAAACCTTTCAATTTTGCCGAAAGATTTCAGCACCTATTCGAATTTTTTCTCGAAAGTGTGTAGGAATTTGGGGGTATGTCTATTTACCAAAAGTGATTGTAATTGACCCCCGCAACCAAAGATAATTTTTCCAGAAGAATTTGAAATTTTTTAATTTCGCCAAGAAGTTTCTGCACCTACCCCTTGTCACCGGCTATCCAATATCCCGTCGTCTAAGGCAGGAATTCACTAGCTTCCTTTCTGCCTTCTTACGACTTTTCTCACTTACTCCACTAGCAGAAGAAGCAGCGCCACAATTATATTGTGAAAAGTCCAAGTGAAATTATTTTTAGGTTAGAACTGGAAACGACTGTGTGGGCCTTTGAACGAACCAAGATTCCATTCTGTCGAGAGTTTCTCGATCTCTACAACGAATTTTGTCGAAGAAGAGGCGCGGGAAAAATGTGTGGAGGCTTCGAATGTGAAAAGGCGCGAGAATGAAGTGCGACCGAGGCCTTTCCGGAACTAATCGGGCCGGCGGGTGTAATTCAATATACGTCGTCGTTAGGTTTAATGACAGGATTCGGTATCGGAAACCGATACGCGGCTCCCGAAGTATTACGAATTCAGCAGGTGCATCTGTTACGTCAAATTACGAAAGTTCCCACCCCCGGGGCTGACTAATGACTAGCATCAACTACTTCGCCGCGTTTCGCGACGCGTACGGACCAATCCCCGCGGTCCGCGAGGATTCTGACGAATGGCGGAGCTTTGTCATTCCCGGCGAGTCGATCGTCTTCCGACCGGCGCGCGCGCGAAAAACAAAAATGGAGGATCCCGTCGTTAATAATTCCCTCGCTTTGGGTTTTCGTCGACGTCTCTCGACCGTCTTTGACGGTCAATTAGGTTCAGAAACTATATAATTAGAGTACTCGAGTGATAGAATACGTTTAATTAAATTGCATCGATGCACAATTTACAGAAATACAAACACAAAGCAAAGTAGACGTCGATGGATTAATTGCATGATTGTAAATTAGAAGTAGGTTCGTTACTGTAATAAACGGTCGTGAACCGTTGGGAATAAGAGAAAATAGCATGATTGTTGAAAATATCAGAAATGTTTTGTACCGTAAACGTTTTAGGTTAACCTCGTAGAATGCGATTGTTCCGTGCTCGTTCTCGTATTATTATGTTAATACGTACTTATATAGATTTAGTTGTAACGTCACAGGATTCAATAGACGTTCTGTACTATCCGTCCATTGTTGTGAAACCTCCGTGTTTCCTTTGTTTCAACGGAGGGGCCACATTATTACCAAGCATGACTTCACAAAGCACGTTTGTAAGATCCACACTGGGTATGAAAATTAATTGCAACTTTGGTACAGCTCTCCATAATGGTGTATTTCTATTATTCTTCGCTCTCGATTATTTCAAATTTTAGTGAGATTTATTTAAACGTATATTTTTACTCTTTTCTATTTTTATGGGTTAACGGAATCAAACGATTCTTAATTTCTAATAATTTTATTTTCCATTTTATTATTATAAAATTAATCGTCAAAATGGAGGACGCAAAATTGTGGAAATAAACGTAAGGACATATTTGTTTCGACTATGATAGAAAATAGTTAAAAATTCAAGTTGTAAAATATGTTTGAAATACTTGTTATTTTTAGAAATATTAAGCATCGTAGTATTTTTCCCCCTAATGAAATGTAAGTAGTATTTAAAATTAACCGCGCGAAACACAGTGGAGGAAGATATTATACGGGAGAATTCGGACCTTTCGACCCGGTTTTCACGGCGTCGTCGCGATAAATCCTCGACAGGTGACTCGGTCTCCGGGGCTACTTCCGCGGCTAATATTTTAGTATCTAATAAAATATGAAGTCCCAGCGCCGAGTGGTTTTCCATTTATCGCGTGGACGATTACGACGCCCGCGAGACGCGCGAGCTTAAATCACGGATCGCCGCCATCGACGTTAAACTCGAGGCAGAAAGCCAAGTATTTCGTGTCACGTTTGTGCCACTGCAACCATAACCTCCAACCTGGCCATCGTATTTCTTCCTCTAGACTCGGTAGATTCCAGCTTAGGCTGGATAAAGAAACCGCCCATGAATTATCGACATCCCATTAGGGGGATCCCATGAATCGTTTCTTTGTCATACTTTCTCTAAACTGTACGTTTTTATAATCTTATTCAGACAATATCCAATGGTGATATTCAAACAACAATCTAACTGCAATTTTCTATGTAAAGTCCAATAAAAATAATTATTTATAACTTACGAAGAATTTTCTCTATAGGGTCAGAAGGAGGA